TAAACTTTAGGACTATATTTCTACTGCACCACTCTGATTTTGCGCATTCTATAAACCATTTATCTATTGCACCACTTTGATTTCGTGTGTTCTATAAACCATTTACACTTGTCTTTCTAAATACTACTTTAACTAGAATTATCTTTAGGAACCTTAAAGGGATTTTGTCCCTTAGCTTGCTAAGAATCTCCTTTCGCAAGCTTTCTAATTGTTATATAGTTTAATATAGATAATTCTATACTTTAAACTTTCTATGGCATCAAGTTGCTAATAACAACATGCTCGAGCACCCACTTGATTCTCCACTCCCAACTTGTATAATTATCCTTGGTTATACCCTTCGATTTTTATAATTTCATTTTATCCTTTTACTACTTGCTTTTTGGCCTTATGCCTTCCCTTTAGTTATTCTCCTCCCATCTAGGAAGGTAGTTTTGCACTTTCTACCATACATTAGCAAATATTCTTAAAGATGAACTTACTCAATAACTTAGGGAGTGGTTTTTTAATCTAGATATGCTCACTATGTAATCCCATACATCAAGATTAATGTCACTATATATGGGCCTTTTTATGCTTATTGCTAGCCATACCAAAATCCTTTTTTTGGCCGACTTATTCTATTTCCGTAACTTTGAATGTTAGATAGCACCTCCTATCCATTATTCACTAGGAATTTAGTCCCTTGGGCCTTATCTAATGCCATCATGATACCAAACACTCTCTGGTATTTTAAAGTGTTTTGGTATCCTAATGATCACTTTTTTTGACAATGAGCATTTTCCTTTACAACATTAATTTATTATATCTCAACATAAACAATTTATCCCCCAAAGGGGTATATCTAACCTCTTTATCCCAATAAGAAGTCTTGGGTACTTAATTTCTACTAGTTTAATCAATTATGTTGCACTTTTTATTTAGTTGCCTCATAGTTATCACATCTTACAACTCATTATTACTACTTCTACACATCCATCATTATTTGGGTCACCACACTTTAACTGCATGCCTTCCAACTTAAGCTATGCCATTCCCATTTCCATTAGGATAGGTTCTCATGAACCCGCTAACTTGACCTCAAGGCATCACACATTAGCACATTTTGTGTCTCCACACCATCAACTCTACAAGCTTACCCTTACGAAACTTCTCACTTATGTCTAGGTCTTTGCCCAGACAAAAGCAGTTGTTTCTCATACTAACTATCAATTAGCATTACACTATAGTATTTACACATAACTTTACGCTAAAGTTGTTTTTTTCCGGGAACACCTTTTTTAGGACTTTAATATGGCACATTTTGCCATCAATGAGATACTCACTATTCTCATATTTAGATCTTATGATCCTCTTTATCTTTCATGGGTACAATACACCTCAGTCCAAATGCTTCTACCAATTCCTTAGAACCATTCCTTGACTCCACTTGAGTTATCGTGCATGATTGGAGTTCGTTAATGATATCAACATTGAAGCCATATAACAAAAGTAGTGTGGGATTAAACTTCCAGACAAAGAAATATATTCATGTCCTATTCATAAGGAACATCTTTGCAAATGTTACATTGACATTTGATTATTCTTTGTTTTATATGATGAGAATACCGACTCATCGTTTATGTACACCCTCAACTCCTTGGGTTGTTCCAACATTTATAAAAGGTAGCTCTGGCTACCATTTCAAGGATTCATGTCCTCATCCGTATTTGATCTCCTATAGTTATTAATTTTAGTCTCAAATTCATGAGCACTAACCTTAACTATATGAGGATAATTTTGTGACTCATTTATTGTTTTGGAGTCTCTATCTTTCCCATGATCACAACTATAGTTATTTATCATAACTACATTAATCAATTTGCTAAATCAAATGCTCATCTGAATCACATCCTCAACTCTTCCCACCATCCGTCTTTGGGTGCCCTAGCTAGGTGGCTAAAGCAAGGTTCCAATAAGCCATGCTAGGTATCCAAGTAAGAAGTGCCACCCACACTTTGACTAAGAGTATTGACCATTCGATCTCCTAAAGGAGCTAAAACTAGCTTTTGAACACTTCACCAAGTTACCCCACTTGTCTGTCTATATTCACTTTAGCCTTGGACTTCCTAATGGTTATATTATCACTCAACAGCCTTCCTTAGTCACATTGGTCTTTCTTGGCCAAATTGGCTGCACTAGAGTCTAACCCCCACACTTTCCGTACTATACTTTTGGAACCTCTTATGACCCAACCCTATCACTTTAGGCTTTCACCCAATAGTCTGTATTAGTATTCAGACTCGGTTTGGTCTTGATTTTGACCTCAAACTCCACCTCGGATTCATCTCGGACTCCATCTCAAATCCACCTCGAACTCCATCTTAGGTCCATCTTAGACTCCATCTTGGATCCATCTTGAACTCCATCTTGGACTCTATCTTAGGGCCATTTCGAACTCCATCTCAGGTCTATCTTGGATTCCATCTCAAATTCCATCTTGGACTCCATCTCGAACTTTATCTTGGGTCCATCTCAGACTCCATCTCAGGTCCATCTCGGACTCTATCTAAAAAGTTAATGAGCATATTGTATGGTTGAGATCAACTACTCCAAAATTGTATAAATATTTTCTTAGAAAAGAGTCAAATTGGAAATTTAAGTGTATTTCAGTATGATTAGGAACTTATTTTGATGTGGTGCTTATCTAGAGACCCATGACAATTAGCTCTTAAAGATTACTATAAAGGGAACATATTGAAACTAATAGTCTATTATTTTAAAAAGTTTACAATCCACAATCCATAAAATATTTCATGAATTAGGCATCTGAAGACTACTTAATAAGATCAAACTGAATCACAATTATAACATCTTGCTCTACACTCCCATTGTTCTAATATGTTGTTGGATGATTAACAACTAAAGTGTTTATACAATACCCCCATCTTGGCAAGCACTGCTGGTACATTTTCATATTATAGAGATATTTACAGCAAGAATATTAGAGCTTTATAGTGGCCTTTCTTTGTTGAAATGAATTCATTCAGTGTGATTACCTTCATCACATTATATAAAGTGAAGTCTTTACCAAGAAAAAGTGGTGTTTTATTCCTAGCTTCCAAGATTTATTTGGGTTTGTAGTTATCCTTTGACTACTTCAATCAAACAAAGTCTCTATTAGAACCAAAGCCAAGAGGCTCTTTGCTGTGCAAATTTCACTATGTTGACCCAAGTGAGAATTTAGTGAGTTATGAAAGAGATAAATAAGAAATTAATTGACAAAATTGCTTAGGGATGCCTTGTTGCCAATGGCTGATTGTGAGCTATAAAAAAAACTCTCCAAAAACTCACTCAGAGTATAATTGCACTAACATTCACAATCTCCTCACTACTCACTAAAATAATTCTAAGAACATTTTTAAACACTGTTAAACACTTTAGAAAGGCCAATTTAACCTCTCACCCTCCTTTTTATAGCTAACTCTTCCATTGATTTCCTCTAAATCTTTACTATCCTTTAATGTAGATTCTCCTCCCACGACTCTTAAGGAATATCCATGCATCTCTATGTCACCTTAATCAAACATTCCAAATTCAAGTATTCCAAGTTCCTTCTACATCACACCTAAGTAGTTTGAGCCTCTAATCCAGATGCATCTATAGCTAGACCTTCATTCCCTATATGATCAATCAAACAACCATCTTTCAGGGATAATCCTGGCAAACTACTCTATATCAGTGGTTCTCAACGTCTCTAACAACATGCTCTCAAGTGAGATTGACAACTGCTCCTCGCTGGATATTGTCTAACTGATACATTAGAATCTCTTGGCACTTGTGTGCAGATCCCGGGCACATGGGTCGACTCAATGGAAAGGTCACCTACTCACCAGGAGAAGAAGTTTCGTTGGCAGAGGGAGTGGAAGACGAGGAAGGAGTCCTGGATGCTGGAGCATCGCCCGAATGTGTCAATGAGGAGGTTGGAGACGTAGACGCCATGGGCACATCTTGTCAAGTCAGTGGAGACAATGTGGCGGTGGAATTCTCGTGCCTCAGCGACGCTCTTGCATTCCCTGATGAGCTCCACCAGTGCCTTCATTCATCACGCCATAGTCTTTCATTTCATCTTTCCGTCTATTAGATATTTACTCTGGTTCATGCCCTGCTCTAGCGGGGCTGCTTATGGGGATCGGTCCAGATGTAAGGAGCAAGTATTGCAGGACTACAAGCTCCTATTCAAGCATTGAGATCATATTTCGAGGTAAAGTATTGTGTCCGCTCTTATGTATGCTGACATAATTCATGTGGCAGCAACAGGATAATGACTGCTAGAAGCCAAGGCAACAACAAAGATGATAGTGGACTTTACTGGGAGTGCTTTTGCAGAAGCCACGCTGCTAAGAGCGCCACCTTTTGGAGCTAAGAAGCTCGAGGACCCCTGCACAACTCGTTCTTCTTCTAGTGGAGCGAGACAGGTTGAGGTAAAGTTATCCTTTGTTTGGCTTTGCTACTTTCGACTCTCAGATTTTCTTTTCTTTGCTTGTTCTGAGTCGGGCTCCAAATTATTGGCACTGTTTCTTCGAACAATGCCAAATCCGCCAAGGATGGAATTTTGCGGAGGGCTGTGGGTGGCAAGAGCCGCCAACTCGACAGGTTAGACCCGAATGAGAGCTCCGGGTGGATGGATGAACGCGACTCGACGTCCTTGCAATCGCAGTTGGGAGATTCTTCCTCGGCAGCGTCATGGCAGGGAGGTATCCAATCGCCAAAGTGTGGTGACCTCTTCCGAGAGGATCCGGGCGATCGACAACATCCAGTCGTGGGCTGGATCGAGAAGCTGGACGCGGAGAATCACTACTACACGTACGAGGTGGAGGAACATTGGGCTGGAGGTACTCCAATTTCGACGCAACACGCGTAAGAATCTCATTGGTCCAGCGAGCACTGTTAGAATACTGGCAATGCGATCAATGTCTTTTTGTAGCCCTAAATGTTATATATGTTTGGGATTTGACGGTGCTAGGGCAGGGCAAATGGCGGAGCTCCGGCAGAGCGTCCAGCCGCGATGGGTGATCGTCTCCTCTGCTCGCGGCAATCGGCCACATGATGTTTCCTCCGATCACAGCGGCAGCGATGGCGGTAATCACAGTGGCGGCAATCACAGTTGCCCGTTTTGCAGGAATCACGAGCACGAGACAGGGGACGAGACGTTTGCGTTCCGGGAGAGCGACGTGGTGAGCGCGCCGGATTGGAGCGTCCGCGTCGTCTACAACAAATTCCCTGCTGTGGATTCTTCGCTGTCGCCGACGTGCACGATCGATGAGGATTGTCATCGTAGCCGGCGCTCTGGATTTGGATCGCATGAGGTGGTCGTGGAGACGCCGGAGCATGGAATCCAATTCGCGGAGCTTCCGATCGACCAGGTAGAGCGAGTGCTCAAGGCGTTCCGGCACCGGCTCAAGGATCTCAGGAATGACAAGCGATTCCAATGCGTCCAGGTGACTGGCTTCTTCCATGGCTGGATTGGTTTGACCGATCGCATGGCTTTCCAGGTTTTCAAGAACAATGGCAAAGAAGCTGGTGCGTCGCTGCGTCACTCCCATAGCCAAATCATCGCATTGCCTATGGTACCTCAAGAACTAATGTGGCAAGTTAAAAACTCCAAAGAGTTCTTCGAACGTAAGGGACGCTGTCTCCTTTGCGAGTCCGTGAAAGCCGATCTTCGAGATCGCTCAAGGTTGATCGATCAGTCATCAGGCTTCGTTTCAGTGGCGCCCTTTGAAGCTCGCTTCCCGTTCGAGACGTGGATTATTCCCATCAACCATAGTTCCAACTTTGAGGAGACGAGTGATTCCGAGGTGATGATTCTTCTTTCTTTCTTTTGGTTTACTCTCCACTAACGCATGCATTCTCGTTTATAGATCGGGGATTTGGCGAGATTACTTCATCTAACATTGAAAAAAATAGTGCAGCAATTTCCAGGCGCTGCATACAACTACGTGCTTTACAACAATCCTTTCTGCGAGGAAACCAACACGGAGTATTTCCACTGGTACATTGCAATCCTCCCTCGACTGGGAGTGCTGGGGGGCTTTGAGCTTGCCACTGGTTGGACCATCAACACGGTGGCTCCTGAGAAAGCCGCTCAAACTTTGAGGGAGTGCGTCCTCAAATGATCTGGTATTCATTGTTAAGAGCTTCTCGCTAGAACTAACAGCTGGTGATTCTTCGTTTCAGGCGCGCATTTTTCTTATCATTCAAGCTTATGCTTGACAATTTTTCTCTTGTCAAAAAGTTTTCATTTACGGATTGCAAGAGAGGTAAATAAATCAATCGAACAGTTATTGTAGATGCGTGACCGCTGAGTTTCTTCTCGGATGCATTTGCTGCTGGTTCCAGATTCTTACAGGTACGTGACTTTCATGCTCACTGTGCTGGTGAGTTCTAGCATTTTCGCATTGAATAATGAAGAGCTTGCTCGCTTGCTCTCTCCGATCGTTCCTTCTCTGGAGCTTTGCTTTTATGGTTTCTCACAATCCTCGTGTACATGGTTTTATATTTGTAAAACTTGCAGGGACAAGCTTACAATGACAATGGGCGATTCTATGAACTATCTGGTAAGATTTACATTGAAGAACGTGGACGATTTATTTCTCTGACGATTTGCTTTTCTCTTCCATTTGACAGGGAACGAACGAGAACGAAAGCCACCATAGCTGAGTCCTCGTGTTGGTAGCGACATGAGAATCCATCCATGGTTTTCATAAAAGATCATTAAATTGGCACAACGATGTGTGCGTTTTGTCGCGTGGATGGAGAGGGGAAAAATGGCCGTTGGAGGGACAGCCGTGCACGAACGGACAGGATGACTTGCGGCACTGCGACCATTGGATTAATTTGGTGATTACCCCTTAATTCCAGACGCTGCTTAGGACAGAGTTAATGTGAACGAATTTACCGTTTTACCCTGCCAGCGTGGCACACCCCTGGGGAAAGTTTGCAGGGTTCACACAAACTGGGCTATGGCGGAAGCATTTAAACGCGACGCACTGGTGCGCGTTTGCGTGACCGATCACGACCGCCTTTTAATCCGCCCTCGATGCTGTGGCCTCCATTCTCTCGATTCTAGGCATTTCCTTTCTCCTCCATCTCTTCCTCCTCCATTCTCCTCTTGCTGGATCATCCGCCGTGTCGATCGTTGCATGCGCGCGGCCTCGCGATGCTTCTTTCGATCCGATCCACGCGCGGCAGTGATATTTCGATCGATCGGCGAGGGATGAGAGCTTCGGCGATGGCGCTACTGCTGGCGCTCCTCGGATTCTTGCTGGTCGCCGGCGATGGCCAGATGCTCTACAAGGATTCTCGCCAGAGCATTGAGGCGCGGATCAAAGATCTCCTAAGGAGGATGACGCTCGAGGAAAAGATCGGGCAAATGACGCAGATTGAGAGGGCGGTGGCGAGCCAGGCCGTGGTCAGGCAATACGGCATAGGTGAGTGAGTGTCCTCAATCGATCGATCGATTGAGAATGCGATAGCTTCTTGGAAGAATCGCGTGTGATCATCTAAAATCTCCAATGGCTGCTGTGTGATAGGGAGCGTGTTGAATGGGGGAGGCAGTGCTCCGGCGGAGAGGGCAGCTCCCAATGTATGGGAGGACATGGTCGATGACTATCAGATTGGAGCTATGAGCACTCGCCTTGGAATTCCAGTCATCTATGGCGTCGACGCAGTGCATGGTCACAACAATGTCTATGGAGCTACCATTTATCCTCACAACATTGGCCTCGGTTCTTCCAGGTACTTACTCATTCTTTCTCCATCCATCTTTTTCCTTCCTTTTTGGTATGAAAAGTTTTTGGGACTTTTTCTCAGGGATCCTGAGCTGGTGCGGAGAATCGGAGCTGCGACTGCGCTGGAAGTGCGAGCGACTGGAATGCCTTACGCCTTTGCTCCCTGCATTGCTGTTTGCCGTGATCCGAGATGGGGGCGATGCTACGAGAGCTATGGTGAAGATACGCAGCTCGTGAGAAGCATGACGAAGATCATCCAGGGCTTGCAAGGCTCTCCACCACCTAGTCATCCGTCTGGCTATCCTTACGTTGGAGGACCGTAAGTTAGATCACATTTTCTCTATCCGTGACTACATGACCATTTCTTTGCTTGTTTCAGATCCAAAGTTGTTGCCTGTGCCAAGCATTTCGTGGGTGATGGAGGGACAGTGAAGGGAATTGATGAGAACAACACAGTGACCACTTATAGGCAGCTCGTTCAAGTTCATATGGGTCCTTATCTTGATGCAATCGCCATGGGTGTTTCAACCATCATGATTTCGTACTCCAGCTTCAATGGCATCAAGATGCACGCTAATCGTTTCCTGGTTACCGAAGTATTGAAAAATCGTCTCGGGTTTCAGGTAAGCGGCTCTTTGATTCCGTCACGACTTGCTAATAAACTATACACACTTTCCTGTCTGTTTCTGCAGGGATTCCTGATATCTGACTGGGAAGCCATTGATAGAATCACCGATCCACCCAAGCAAAACTACACGTACTCTGTCTTGACTTCGGTCAATGCAGGTATCGACATGGTAAGCAATTAGCATTTGGACTTTTTTGTGCGTGTCAGTGTCACTAAATTTCGCTTTCACGACGCAGATCATGGTTCCGTTCGATTACCAAAACTTCATCAACATCCTCACTGGACTCGTAAAATCCGGAGCCGTCAGCCAGAGCAGGATAGACGACGCCGTGACCAGGATCCTCAGAGTCAAATTTGCTGCTGGACTGTTCGAAGCGCCGAAGGCAAATAGGAAGCTCAACAACAAAGTCGGCGCAGAGGACCACCGAGAGCTAGCCAGGGAAGCCGTGAGAAAGTCACTCGTGCTCTTGAAAAACTCAGCCAGGAGTGGATCTAGCAAGAACATCCTGCCACTCAGCAAGACGGCGCCCAAGATTCTAGTGGCTGGAACACACGCTGATGACTTGGGACTTCAGTGTGGAGGATGGACAATCACCTGGCAAGGTGGCAGTGGACAAACAACAATCGGTGAGTAGCAGTTCTCCTACTTCAAACTCTCGTTTGTTCTTGGCTAACTCTGATCTTGCAAAATGCCAGGAACTACGATTCGCCAAGCAATTGCCAACACCGTGAGCCAATCCACGCAAGTTGTCTACGAGCAGTCCCCAGACGCCAACTTCGTCAAGGACAAAGGCTTCTCGTACGCGGTGGTGGTGATCGGCGAGCAGCCTTACGCCGAGATAGCCGGCGACAATCTCAACTTGACAATCCCCAGCCAAGGCATCGACACCATCCGGAACGTGTGCTCGTCCCTGCGCTGCGCGGTGGTGCTCATCTCCGGTCGGCCGCTGGTGCTGGAGCCTCACATCGATATGATGGACGCGCTGGTGGCGGCGTGGCTTCCAGGTTCCGAGGGCCAAGGCGTGGCCGACGTGCTTTTCGGTGACCACGACTTCGTGGGGAAATCGTCCAGGACGTGGTTCAAGCGCGTGGATCAACTTCCCATGAATGTGGGAGACATGGGCTATGATCCTCTCTTCCCGTACGGTTTTGGCATGACAATGCGGCAGCAGTAAGTTCTCTTTTCTTTGTTTCCGTACAGATTAGTTCTATAGATTCTTTTGCGAGGATCACAAAGATTTTTATCTGATAATACATAGAGGGGAATGTTTATAACTTCCATTCCATTCTTCCATTGAGGATTGTAAGAGATCTCTTCATCGTTGTTTTGCAGAAGTTTATCACAATGATAATATAGAGTTACCATTCTTAATTAGTTCGTTTCAGTTCTCTAGGTAAGACCAAAGATAATATTGAGAGGGAATGCTTATGATCATTCCATTCTTATTGACGAGCAACCAAGGAGCTCTTGGCTGTGTCAAGAATCGGGCTTCACCATCTTCACGTTCTTGTAGAGGCGGCGGAGATCGTTCATGGCTCTCTCTTCGATCTGGATGCAGCGAATGCTGGACGGACTGCTCGTGTCGGGCTTGTACCAGCAGCTGGGATGCTCGGACGAGAGATCGCTACTGCTAGCGGCAGCATCTCTGCCGAACGAAGAAGCGGCGAATCCAACCACTGGCGGGCTTCCAACTTGGTGGCTTCTAAACGATGCTCGCTGCTCCTTGTGCTTGGCCTGGAGAAAAAAAAAAAGAAAAAAGAAAAGAAACACGATCAATAAAGCACCACCACCTCGGGACAAGACTTTTACCTCTTGCTTTTGGATGTCTCTCAGCGATGGAAACGCGCCAGGCGATGAGCTTCCGGTCCACGGTGCGGCTTTCGGGGGTGTGAAGCTCATCGCTGGAGCTGGCGGCGATCGAACAAACTGCTGTAGAGGAATGCGCTGGTGTCCCGGTGCCGCTGCCTCGCGAGGGGAGCTCTCCGGAGGCTTGCGTTGCATCGCCACTGACTTGTTGTTAGCACTGGTGTTGCTTGACTCGGCCTTCTGCTCGGTTTGAATCTCGGAGAGAGACGCAGCTCCTTTGCCGCGCTTGAGAGCACCACCACCCCAAGCTGGGCCATCTGTTTTCGCAACGAGTGGAACCGGCGGCGGTGGCGGCGGAATGGTTTCCGGAGCTTTGTCCAGAGCACCCGTTAGAAAGAGGGAGAGGCCACCTTTCTTACACTTCGTCTTGGCTTTCTTAACGGTTGCTTTGGAGCGACCATCGTCAGCTTTAGAAACTTCCGTTTTAAGGTCGGAGCCACTGGTCACTTCTGCAGAAGGAGACGGGAGTCTGAATCCTAGAACCTTGGATTCCATCTCTGCGACGCTGTCCTCTTTAAAATCAGTCGCCACCTGTGAAAGAAAGATCAATAATCTGAGATGAAAGCATGATATGAGACTAGCTTACCTCTTCCACCTTGTCAGGAACCTGGACTTCAGTTTTCTTGCTGTTAGTTTTCTTGCTCTTGCGACGCTGGCGTTTCGAGCGTTCGTCAGTCAGCTGGTTTTGCTTCTTGGAGCTGGTCTCGGGAAAAACTTCTCCACTGGTCTCAGGCTCTTGCGTTTCCAAGATCCTGAGAGACTCCAAAATTGATTTCTTGGTGCTAAGCTTGGTCATTTGTTGGTCATCCAGGCTCTGTCCCTTGGAGAGCTTCATCTCCAGCAACTCAATCTGCTGGAGCTTCTTGCGCATCGCACGTAGTTGCTTGGTAGCTCTATCTCCTGCGCTGTCTTCCTGAAGGAATCCTGCACCGGGCGGCGTTGGAAACAACTGGTCTTTGAGAATTCTTGGATTCGCGAAGGAGTCGGCGTCGTCTTCTTCGCTGTCCACGATAGCAGGTGTTGTCGCGCTGGGAACTGGGAGCTGTCGATGACTCCATGGTTGTAAAGAACAGGCATCCCAGGACTTTTCCAAGTCGGCTAGAACTGATGACCTCGTTGTACCAAAGCTCGCGCCAAAGAATGCAAATATGTAGTCCAGATTACGCAATATGAGGCTCTGAAGAAAAAAGAAAAACAGATTATTACTATGAGAAAGTTGAGCAGTCAGCACACACATACCTCGCAGTAGCGTTTCAGCTCATCAGCACCGAGCGCATCTGCAAACTCCAGGATTTGCAATGCGTTCCTCGGTTCGACGATTGTCGTTGCTATCACCTTTTGACATAAGTCCCTCAAAGAGGGAAGACGATCCTCTGGATCCCTCGGTGGCGTGACAACGAGCTCGTCATCACCGTTGTCGTCAGTAGCAGTTTCATTTGGAACCAGAGGTTCCGAGTCCGATTGATAAGCAGGCACGTAGATCTCTGTCACAGCTAGTGAATGCGTTTCACCTACAGCCAGAAGTGTGGCGCGTTTGATCCCATGTATGCGCAGCGGAGCTGGACTGGAGGATTTATCACTGTCCCACGCATAAACGTCTCCAGTAGAAGTTGCTACTGCCGTTCTATATTTTCCCGCAGACACGGACACCGCATGATGTCCAGTCATAGTCAGCACCTGGCATAAAAGAAGAACAGCTAGTATAAACATCATAGGAACAATAGAACAAACGAAGATTACCTGCTGTGCATGTAGTTGTGGATCAGCAGACAACCACGAAAAAATCAAGCCATCCGCAGCGATCGCTGTACTGTGCACCACACCCGCCGCTACAGCGACGATATGCAGGCGTTCGGATAAGTGGAACTTCAGTGGGTGTTGTCCCGCCTTCTTTGTATTTCTCACTAACACCACGCGCCTGGGTGACACCATTTTGTGGCCCCATGTAAACACCTGCATAATAACTTGTGTAAGGTCGATCATGCGTGGAGAATCAGCTACTTACCTCGGTCTCTACGATCACAACAGTGTGACGTTTTGCAGCGGAGATGGCCAAGGCTTTCCTTCCTTTCAAATAGTCCACTACGCGTGGTACGCAGTTCGAAGCGGAATTTGAAGTTCCGTATCCCAGCTGGCCGTCTTTGTTGCATCCCCAAGTGTAAACCTCTCCGGACTCGGTAACAGCGGCGCTGTGTTTGTTCGCCGCTGCAACTTCCACTACTTTGGCTCTCAAAGTAGATACACGCCTTGGAGTAGATTGAGTGTCTACAGCAGGATAACCAAGCTGTCCTTCTGTAAAGACAATATGTGAGAATGGATAGGGGATGGAAAAATGCTTCGCACCTCTGTTTGTACCCCATGTATAAACTTCACCACCCTCCGTCGCTACGATGGTATGGTGCTTGGCAGCTGCAACGTTTTTAACCCGTCGTCCGCATAAGCCAGTAACTTGACGAGGTGCTATAACTGCAACTTCTCCACTGCCAGAAGGAACCGAAATGGTTTACACGAAATAAGTTCTGCATTGCAAACCTGTAGTCCTCGTGTCCCAGGCGTCCTCCCCTTCCATATCCCCAGGAAAATAGCTGGCCGCTTGAATTAACTGCTGTGCTATGGAATTTTGCAGCTGAAACTCGGACGATATCAGCACCGTGAAGAGTCTCAACTCGACATGGTACGCGTTGAATGCCTGCTGTGCCTGTCCCGAGTTGATAGTTTGAGCCATTCCCCCAGCTGAAAAGCTCCTTCAAGACAACTCCTGCAGGACAAAAAGCAAAAAACTTAGTAACTTAAGATGATGGTGCGAAACCTCAGCTCACCTCTGCAAGATGGAGCAACAGCCTGTTTGACAGGACCAGAAACCAAGTCGACTGGAAGTCGACCTTTCGAATCATCCAAGGACACAGAAGCGCCACCGTCAACAAGCGCACCGGCAACGGCAAGGTGACCAAAATGTAGAGCCCTGTGCAAGCTTCCCCAGCCGGATTCTCCATCCTAAAATTTGCGAACATGAGAAGAAGTGAGAAATCGAAAGGCAAAAAAAGAACTTCAATAACGTACCCGAGCGTTAGGATCAGCTCCAGCAGCCAAAAGCCTCTTCACGATCGGAACGTGATTCCTCCAGGTTGCGATATGCATGGCGGTCGAGCCAAACCTGTCCCGAGCATCGACGCTACCATTAATCTTCTTGAGAGCAGAGAGAGCGGTCTCCACATCATGCACTGTTCCATTTCGAGCAGCAGCGAATAAGTCCCGGCTCGCAGAATTCGCCAAAGCATGCCGACCAGCAACCTGCTTTCCACTTGACTTGGCCTCCATCGTTACCAAGTCCAAAACTTTTCACGTTTTTCTAGCCTGTACCTGTACCCCTGAGCTACAATCCACTACCGAATTCCATCCTCATCATATTCTTTTCCCAGGTAGAAGGTGAGCACCAAAAGCCAGTGGCAAATCCCCATGGTTGTCCTCCCGGCAAAAACTATGTTCCTGAGCCTGAAGTTGTTCTTACCAAGTCTTAGCAGCAGAAGCATTAGTAGGATCGAAAGGGAGGGAACCACTCCATGCCAGAAGCGCGAGAGCGGTGTTGCCTGGAAAGAAGATCGCCAAGATCATGCCAAATTCATCAGATGATGGTAACAGTACCTGAGGCGATGGCGCTGACACGGCTGCGCCCTAAGAACCCAAAACGCAACTTCCCTCCGCCCACCCTTCCACGTTTGCCTGCCACTCGAAAGTCGACAGTGGATATCCACGAATTCCACCAGGGTATCTTCTTGAGGGGCATTTTTAAAGTAAAACTCCCCGAGCATATAACTAAGGAATGTTCTTCCCGCTGCTAAGAAAGTTCTTGGTCCACTGTTCGTTAGACTTCAAGGTTTTCTCGGCTTCATGCAAGAACTGCTGCTGCTCTTGCAACCGAAGTAGAGCCTGTGAAACGAAAATTAACAAAAATTCTCATTGCTTCTGAAGCATACCTCCGTGCTTGCCATAAGTTCTTCGCCCGCCCCTTGAGGAGCACACGACGAACTGCTTGCGATGTCAAACTTGCGCTTAACTTTCTTTCTAAGTTGCTTCACAGTGTCATTCCTGCATGGAAAAAACACACTTTTTGAGGAAACAAAGGCTAAAGCAATGGAAACTTACCATGGATTGTGCTGTATCAACTTGAAGAGCGGAGTGGTCGGGTCCGAAGCACGCTTCTTTTGTTTACCTGTCCTCGACCTGTTCTTTCGTCCGCAGCTATGCCTTGCGTCCGTTGTTGAATTTTCAGTGTCATAGAATCTCTGAAAGCAACTGTTTTCACATAATTTTGTAGGTATTGAAAAACTTTGCACCTTTTCCTTGTCAAGTTCCTGGTATCGCATCTCTAGGTCCCGCCGTCCATCTTCCACTTCCTGTGCAATCTCAGCAGCCATAACTCGCGCTCTTTCTAGATCAGATCGTTGTTTGGACAACTCTCCAGTTTCTGGTGGCACAGGGCAAGGAAAAAATCTTGTCAAGACAAAAGAACTCGGAAACAAACTACCACAGCCACCAAACCAGTTTGTATTCTCGCTGCATGTTCCACAAGTTGCTTCTCAAGTGAGGCATCTGCATGATATAGCTGTTCCTTCATTCGAAGTACTGCATCACGTTTACCAGCAAGTTCCTTTTTTTCCTGCATTTCATCTGTTGGTTGGTGGCTAAATTTGAAAAACAAATGACGTTCTGACCTCAAAGCACTTTTGAAGAAATGACTCCTTTTCTTGAAGACACATACTTCTGAGCTCGTCCATCTTCTGCCTTGACGCTGTAAGATCCGCCAGAGACTGGGATCGCTCACGTTGGACAGCTTCCTACTTACAAAAACAGATTTTGATTTGCGACTTAAGAAATCAGTTCAAACCTGAAGCGCTTGCAAATGTGCTCGCTCTCTGAGGAGACTATCCCTCTCAGTAGTCTGTAAATCTTTAATGTTATGGACAGACAATGAAAGAATTCGCATTAGCTCCTCCAACTGCAGTATCCATGGCAAGGCTTTAGAAGAGAAACACGTAAAACTCAGAATTTGCTGAACCTGGTTTTGCCACTCATTCATGAACGTGTGTTGCTGATGCATTGATCTCTCAAACCCGTCCAGCCATTCAGTCCTGAACTTATTAGAGTTCTCTTTCTCTGTAACCATCCAATGCTGTATCTCGTCGACCTTAGTACACCAGTCATTGGATTTTGAGACTAGCTGCGTGAGCATTTCCATCGTATGCTTTTGATTTGCCACAAATGCTCTCTACAACAAGGCAGAAAAGGTCCTAGAGATTGAGAAGAAGGAGAAATCCGTTTACCTCGCTGTTTAGCTGATTCTCCTTGGCTTCCATTTCCCTCGCATGGGAAATTTTCAATATATCCACCTGCATGCATTTCAGAACATTTCAGAACAATCTGTTGAAAGAAAAAGAAACGTAAAAACAGGTACCTCTTCTTGGTAAACTCGCTGTAATGACGACAGCTTCTCGTCCGCAAGAATGCAAGTGTTTTTCAAAAGATGGATTTCAGATGATAGCTGCACAACAATCTTTTGTGCCTCCTCTTTATCTTCTGAAAATTGCTTGCACAGTGCTGAATTGCTAGAGATTTCAATCTCAGAAATCTCCCTCTCAATTCGCAGCTTTTCTTTCTCAACCTTAAGAATTTCTTCCTTCAGTAAGGAGTTCTCAGACTTCAGTTGCTTGACTTCATCTGTTAGTTGATTTTTCTCGCTTTCAAGGATCCCTTTCGAGACTAGAGTTTGTCTTAGCCTCTCAAACAATGTGCTTTCCGAGTTCCCACTCTCAGGAACTGCACGCTTGTCTGATCCTGATTCTTCAGATTCCTGCAAAGCAGCAACTTAGAAGCATACTATATCGAAGCATTTTACCTGCGAACTCAAGTTTTCGAGACCACTTGCAAAAGAAACTCGGTGTGCTTTTGGTTGCGCTGAAAAATACAACGTTTTTCCAACGAAAACTGAGGCTGTTCATACCTTTTTCACGTTGCTGGATTGCCGGACTGGGCTTGGCTTGTTTGTCAACTGGAGGAGTAACGGGGATGATTAACGAAATGTCGTCTCCATCTCGTTTTGTATGGCTCGTACTATCTGAGAGCTTGCCCGTTCCCTCCGTGTTGCCTAGTGTTGAGCTGAAATTTGTGGGGCTCATTCGTCTTCTTCCGGCTATAGGAGTTTTTCCCGAGAGGCACGAAGGTTGGTACTCACCAAACTCAAATGGTGTATCCGGTCTTTCAGTCGTTGGCTTCTTCGATATATTAGATGGCCTTCTTTCCGGTTTTGCCTTATTGAAGTCACCCTCCGAGCCATCCGGAAGCATAGATAGGATATCTGAGCTCTCACCCCAGTCGTCATCCTGTGAAATAAACGTGGAAAAATAAGAGAATAAAAACCATATGAGATCGACGTACCTTTTTCTTCCGAGGCTCTTGGTCGTGTTTAACAGACGAAACATGAGTGAGAAGGCTGTCAAAGGAACTCTTCTTTTCCAAGCTTGGAGGTGGAGCGAGATTTTCCTTCCATTTCCTCTTGAAGATTTCCCTGTCGAAAATGTGAATCAAACGAGGAGTGTCGATTTTCGAATGCTTTTCGCTGGATGAAGTGTTTTCTCCATCTTACTCATCCGGTGGCGTCTCTGGCTTGCATTCTTCTGTCGGAGAGCTCATCGTGGGATTCACGCTGGGAAACATGGTTGGAGTGGAGCACTGTTTCTCAGCATCATCGTTTTTGACAGTAAACGAGCTCACAGAGTGGCTGCCTTGAGCTGAATCAGTGCGTGTACTTTCAGTAACACTCGACGTCTTTGTGGACACTGGCAATTCCAATGGACTTTCCTCGTCAATCCCTACCAGACCTTGAATCAACGAAGTAGGAAATCTCTCAGCTCTAGACCAATTCATTCTACATCCTTACCTTCATCAAAAAGCGCATCTATCGATCTGTCGTCGTGACGAGCACGGGACCAGGATCGTCCAAGCGGCGGAAGGCCCGATTCGGCTGCAAACAGACGAGAAAAGGATCAAATGGGAGGGTTCTCGGCGAACTTACACGATCTGGAGAGCGATGGCGCATCGGCGAGGGAGGAGAGCGCCATTTCCACCACACCCTAGCTCGCCCTCTTCCCGCTAAACCTAGAATTCAAATAAGCTCTGTTCTAGGGCTTGTGAAATGCCGGGAGCTGATACAATCCCTAGATTGAATGCTTGCCCATGGCGCTGGCGCTCGGAGCTTCTTCTTCACATGTCCTTTCGATTCCTCGCTCGGGAATCACATTCATTTCATCGTGGCCTCCATCTTCATCCAGGATTAGCAGCACCGATGGCAGCAATGGCGCTCGGATTCTCACCGCGAGAGTGATTTCTTGCGGCACCAGGTTCACAACTCTTGCCACTGGTAAGCTCAAGCGAACGCATTCTTTCTCGTTTGATGCTTTGTCTGGCACAGTGGATAAGAAATCTCTTGAATCGATTCAAGACGAAGACAAGGTCAGGGATGAGTTTGTGGAGGTGGGCGTTGTGATTAGAAAGCATGGAGTTCGTGGGGAGTTGCTGATTCGGTCCTCTACCGATTTCCCTCAAGAACGATTTGAGAAGGCAAGTTCTCTTTAGAACAAGGACAATTTGTAAGGTTTATCTTGCTTCTTTCAGCCTGGGAAGCGATGGATGAAAATCTCCGAGAGAGGTGAAGAGACGATAGAGTGCGTGGATCTCGTCAGTGGAAGAAATCGAGCTGGCAAGCTACCGTGCTGGTTGCTTACGCTGAAAAATGTGGACTCGGTCGAGAAGGTAAGCTCTGATGTTCTTACTCTTTGACAAAATTTGTATTTTTTTTCAGGCTTCGAAGTATATTGGTGCTACCATGCTTGTCAAGCGTGACGAACGGCCTGCTCTGGAAGAAGGCGAGTTTTACATTCCAGATCTCATAGGCATGGACGTTTTTGTCCAGGTATGAATTTGGTTAGTTCATGCTCATGCCTTGTTTACTTTACTATATTTTATGATAGAGCTCCATGGAAAACATTGGAACTATTGCTGATATGTGCAACTTTGGAGCCAGTGACTTGCTGCGTGTCCAACGAAATCCAGCTTCATCTGTTGGTGAGGGCCCTCTTATTTGGATTCCTTTTGTCGAAGCTATAGTTCCCGTGGTTGATATGGAGCAAAGGCGAGTGATAGTGGATCCTCCCGAGGGGCTACTGGAGCTGAATACGCCCGCGAAACGCAAGGAGAAAGCTGAAGCACGCAAAGAGGTAGGCCGAAAGTGAGTTCTATAATCTGCCGAATTAACGGTTCTTATAGGAGGTGAAAGCCATGCGGAAGTTGCAAATGAGAAAGAGTGGCTTAAAGAAAAGTCTGATAAAATCCAAACAGGACCACCTTTTAGCAGGACTTTCTGTCGGCGAGCAAGAAGAGCGAGATTCGTTGCTGAAGGAGCTTTTGAACATCGACTTCAAAGCTCTTCAAGTGTCCTTTGTGAAAGCTTGCGAGCGTTCTAAAACGGTATGACCGTGCATATTTTTGCTGTTAATGTTCTCCTGTAAAGAACGAATGCAGGTTGAGTGGCTTCACCAAGCTTCCCGAGATTCCCTCGGTTTCCAAGCAGGAGCTCGAGAGGTGGATGAAAGAAGGCACACATACCGGAGATGGCGAAACAAACAGTGGAAAAGGTTATTGGAAGCGGGGACTCGATGTTATTGCAAGCAATAGAGTGGCTGTTGCTTCCTTGATACGTCCGAATGACGACGGGGATCAAAAACTGGACAAACAAAAATCACGACTCCAGCTTCTTGCTCAACATCTTCGAGCAATTGAAAACCTTGCTACGCTCGTGAGTACTCTTGTTCATAAAAGGTAGTCTTCACCACTAACTGTGGGAACATAGGAATTTCCAGGAGACGTCTGCCAAATACCTTGGTTCATTTGTACCAGCTCGGATCTCATTGAACCGATTCGTTCACTTCTGGACGAAGAAGAATTCTTCGGGCTCCAATCCACGCAAGTAAGACTATAGCTAGCTTTTCAAGCTTAAGTTTCCCGTTGTTTCTTTGAATGCAGGTCTGCGTTATAACCGTAGAAACAGTTCCCTGTTTTGACACAAACAATGTCGCTGGTGATCACCAGATATTGAGAATGTCACCATGGAAACTTTTGCAGTCGGTAACTGGCGATGGCGGAGTGTTGAAAACTCTAGCTATTGAAGGCCTTATTTCAGAGTTTGCGGAGAAAGGTCTCGATTACTTACAGGCAAGGTTCTTTAAAAGCATTTCGGTCACCATCTATATCTTTTTGTTCAGGTGCTGGATGATCCAACTTCACAGGCAAGGATAGCGGATCCCTTCCTTTTTGGATATGCAGAGGCACAAGCATCGGAGTTAACCATTCAAACGGTGGAATGGCAACCATCCATGGACGTCATTGGATTCCGAGAGCTCCAAAACGAGAACTCGCTTAGCTACGAGCTTGTGAGGCGCTACGCTTGCAAGGACAACAAGGACCTGGAGCTGTGCAGTGCTGTAAGTCCTCTTGGAAGCTACATTCTCTCGGTGTCATTCGCAAAGAAGCTCCATGACAGCGGCTTCAACTTCGAGCTTCACTCGACCTCGCCCTCGACTAGAACGTTCCCCGTCTACAGAGAAAAGGATGGCAAATGCGAGCTCGTGAAGGATTCAAGCGCGATGGTGCTTGAATCCTCTCTGCTGGACTGCATCGTCAAGTGCGAACCGCGCAAGGTACTCACAAAGTTCTCTCTTTTCTTTTATGGATTCATTCGTGTTCCTTGTTTGTCACAGATTTCTATCGTAAAACTCGTGTAATGCGGCTCAAAGTTTTGTTTTTCTATAGTTCTCATCATCTATCGTGGATTGCATCATCGTGTGCCTGTAGCTCTCGGAATTTTTATCCAGGTAGCCAAGCTCTGAGCTGGACGGGATGGCGAGAGGTCCAGATAAAAGGATATTTCTCTTCGTCTCCAAACAAAAGATTAGGGTAGAGTGGATAATGGCGAAGAGGGACGAGATCGCGAGCGCCATGGCCAGGAAGCGGCAGCGCGTATCATCGTCTGGGAGCGACAGCAGCCGAGTGGGGCAGATCACAGGTAATGGCTTCCCCGCGAATCGAGAAGATTGCGCCGGGGACGAGCAGCAGCACCAGGAGCAGCTGCAAGAACAGGGTTCCAGGGATGTCAAGGTCGATCCAGACAAGGCACGGATCATCTCCTTCGGCGAGGAATCCTCCGCCGACGTCGTGGTGCATCTCATCGGGGACGAGGAGGAGAATGTGCTCCATCTCCACTCCCAAGTGCTCGCCAAATCGAGGTATTTCGCAGCGCTCCTGTCCGAGCGATGGAAAGGCGACGATCAGGCTTCCATGGCGGCCGAGCAAGAGCCTCCAAAGACGCATCTCAGGATCGACACCACTTCTCCCATGCCGGTCTACCTCGGGATCCTCAGGCTCTTCTACACGGAGAATTTCAGCGAGGCTATCGTGGACGTCCAGTCCGCATTGGCGCTTCTCCCAGTGGCCGCCGAGCTTCTCTACGACGACTGCATGGCGCGGTGCTTGAAGTTCCTCGAGGCTGTTCCCTGGAGCAGGGAGGAGGAGCAGCAAATCCTCCAGCTTCTCAACTATCTCCAGCTCGAGGAGACGCCGGAGATCATCGCCAGGGTGATCCCCGGGAGTGACAGCGCCGTGGAGACGATGCTGAGCGAGCTCGTCTACGCCGCCACCCACAACCATCAGAACGCTGCGAGCGTGAAGCTCTTCGTGGGGAAGATCCTCGACAGCCACAAGTCGAGGGAGACTGTGAGGTTAGTCCTGGACAACGCTTTCAAGAATGGGCTCAAGACGGTCAAGGACTCGGTGGAGGAGTACTCGAGCCCGAACGTCCGCGGGAGGCACGACGAGATCGAAGCCATGCAGCGGCAGAATCTTCACACGGCGGTGGTGAGCGGGAGGCACTTGCTATGGCTTGTGGAACGGATGATCGAGCTCAAAGTCGCGGAGAATGCCGTGCTCGAGTGGAGCGAGCAGAGTTCCTTCACTGCCAACTTGAAGAGAGCTTTCATGGACGACGTCTGGAGGAACAATGTCCCCGGCTTGCCAGCGGTTCTACTCCGGTGCACATCTCGCCTCGCTCAGGCCATGGTCACTGGATCCATCCTAGTTTCCAGGGAGGTGAGGAAGAAGATGGTGAGGGACTGGCTTCCAGTTCTCATAACTTCCAAGGAGAACGCGGTGTCGGCGAACTGCAACAAGCAGCTCCACCAGAATCTGGAGGAGGTGTTCCTCAAGCTCATCTCGACGCTTCCGGTTGGCGATGCTCAGGAGCTTCTCCAGCAGTGCCTGAGCTTCGCTTCCCGCGGGCTGGACGAGAGCTCGAACCTGGCCATGGCTTTTGCGACGTGGTTCCGACGAGCAGGCGCTAGCGAAAACTCGTGAAAAGGTTCGTCTTTGCGCATTTGGTCTTCGATCGTCTCTGATTATCTCTTGGGCTCTTGCGCAGTGCGTCAATGCTGGATGGCGTGTCTTTCGTCAACGAGGAAGCTTTTAGCGTTTGTGGGGGTAAGCTTTTCGCTTTTGTACAGTCTCTTCTGTGAATCGCTTGCATGAAATATAGTTGAGCGCTTCGCTCAACATGCGTTCGTAAGTATAGATCATATCAAGAACAAGAAGAATCGTTTGAGCTTTTGGGACCGAGCAAGCTATAACTTTGGTTTCTCTTAAGCGTTTCCCCAGAACAAGAAAAAAAAAAACTCTCTTTGCGAAAAATGGTTTCGTGGTCTAGTGGTGATGACACTGGACTCTGAATCCAGTAACCCGAGTTCGAATCTCGGCGAAACCTCTTCTAAGCTTTGCATTAAAAAAATCTCTTCCTTTTATGTTTTGTGTACATACCTTTCTTATGGTCTTTTGGCAACAATGGTCTCTTTCTATCAATCACAAAAATGGTAGCACTATAGTTTTCAGTGTCTGTCGCCATGGATCAATCAGCCAAAGCAGCAAAACCAGTTGCTCTGGAAGGAAGAAAGAATCGAAACAGTCAAAGAATTTCTTTTTTTTCCAATTGAGTCGCGAGGACTTACTTGCTGCTTGCGACCGGGATGTCCTCCTCCTCGTCCATAGCCCTGCTGCTGATGATCCGGAGCACTGTCCTGTTGAATTCTTCCCGGCTGCCGCTCGTTCCTCGCATTGTTAAAGATTGTCGTGAAGCCCTCTCCCGACGATGGATCCTTGGGGTCCCAGTCCCCGAATTTGGGCAATGCAGGCGCGTTCCTCTCGGGAATCTGTGCCAGCAAGCGATCCAAAACCGTGAAATCCAGCTGCCCAAGATCTTCTTACCTTGGCTTGCGGATGGAGCGGCGATCGATGGATGTCTGATCCATTGTAGCGCCGGTTGCTATCGGAGGACGAGGATGGAGTTCTTCCCACCATAGCAGGTGATTGCCGGTAGCGCGCGGGCGATTCCATGTATTTCTTGAATTCCCCGTCCTCCCTGCTGCCAATTCGCTGCTCCGTGCGCGATCTTCGCGCTGGATCCGTCGGATTGTCTTGTTGATGCTGGTGCTGTTCTTGGCGATGGGGCGATTTTGGGGCAACAGTGGCAGGCGGTGGAGGAAACGCTCCAAATGCTTCTGGGTTCTCGGATGGATCATTTGGGTTGATCAATCGGCCGCCTCTTCCAGCTCTGGCCGACTCGAACACCTTGGTGTAGGGCGCGTGATCGTTGGGATCCCAATTCCCAAATCGCGGGACGTGAGACCCAGCTCTATTCCTTTGCTGCAAACAAACCAACCAATCAATCAATCAATCGATCCAGTCGATCGACCCATCAAGCTACTGCTACTCACTGCCATCGCGATCGATCGATGTCCCGAAGAAAAAAATCTCGCGAAGTATCGAGTCCTGGCTTGCGATTGCTGGCTAAGTGATCTATGATCGATCTCTGCACAGAGATCTCCGCGAGAGAGGCAGAAGACCTAGAAATCTAATAATGCTGTTCGTGCGCCTCCTTCGTGTTGGCAGAATAGACCATTGGCGAGTATGACACGGTCATTCTAAGCCGGCACGCTTGTCTAGATCACACGGCTATACGCGCTAACACGTGGCAGCATCTCGAGAGTCGATAGCTGACAGAGCCCTAAACGGCGGGATTTTATTTTGCGATCCAAGAATCGCAATCTTATCGCCTAGCTGTGGTGCGGGAGGGGCGGCGATCTCCGGCGCCATGGCGTCCTACGCTGCCGCATTGGGATCGCCATGGCTTGGGCGTCCGATCCAGCTGCGCAAGCTCCGAGGAGGTTCCCGGGGTCGTATTTGCAGCGCCAGCGCTGGATTCCGGGTGAGCGTCGCGAGCTTGGAGCGCAGTATGATGGAATCCAGGCAAGGAATTTCTTAGATGTCGATATTTTGTCTTTCTTTCTTGACGGACGATCGATCCTGGGCAGTGTCGGGAATGCATTGCGGGAGAGTGGTCTTTTCTTCCATAAGACGATCTTGCAAGACTCGTTGGAAGTGCTTCCCAGCTCGCATACTGTAAGCGTGGATTTCTTCCTTTTGTGGTACTCGTTTGATTGAAACTTTTGTTTTTTTTTGGTCAAGTCTCTGGAATGGTGGGCTGTCGCAGCACCGGCAATGCTTTGGTTCTTGCTGGCTTCTCCTGGCGGCATTTCTGGCGTTGTTGACTTCCTCGCTTCTCCTTTGCATGCTCGTCGTCAAAGGTTTTCGACTTCCAAGTTTATAACTCTGTTGCTCAACGCAGCGTGTGTTTTCTTTGTTTCATCGTAATAGGGAATTCCCAGCCAATGAAGTTGAGGTTGGAAGACGCATTGGAGAAGGATCGTTCGGAATCGTCTATGACGGATACATTGGCCGAGGAAGTAAGAGCCTGGGTGTTTTGATACCAACAGGTTGATTTTTGGAGTTTTGGCAGCCAATGGCGACGAGGGCATGCATGTCATTTTGAAGAAAGCGAAAGCTCAAGTTTCGGGCTCTTCAGAAATGCACAATACGGAAGTGTACATGAACCGGTACTTGCAGGTAAATTTGGTCGAGAGAGAGAGAGAGAGAGAGTCATATTGTCGTTGTTTTGTAGAGAAACGCGCCCGAGGCTGTGGCTGATTTTCTGGGAACGGTGCGAGTCAAGCAGGATCAAGTCAAAGGAAAATTAACAGAGGTACGAGATACAGAGTGGCGACTGAGACCCGCGTCTAAGATTGCTGCATTGCATTTTCTGTCCAGGGGCTGTGGCTAGTGTGGAAGTTTCAAGGCTACCATACGTTGAATCACTACATGAAACAAAAGACATTTCCAGAGAATCTCTCAAAGCAACTTCTCGGAGACAGTGTAAGGTTGTATGCCTTGGCTAATATCAGATGTTGGTAACAGGGTTGTTTTAGGCCACAAACAAGCGTTATGGCTCTACAAACCAACGACAAAATGCTCTAATTCTCCGAACTATAATGACTCACTTGTTATATAACCTACAGCAAATCCATAGAACCGGTAAGCATGTTTGCCGCTGAATGTCTTTAGATCTTGTTCTTACTTTATCCCCAGGCGTTGTGCACCGTGATGTAAAGCCTTTAAATTTAATTCTCGCCGGCGATACGGATACTTTTAAGCTCGTCGACCTTGGCGCATGTGTCAATCTACGGTCCGGTTACAATTACGTAAGTGACGAATTTTTCGCAAATCATGCTTTTCAAATGAAAATTTCAAGTACAGGTTCCGAACGAAACAATCATGGACCCAGATTATGCACCTCCTGAGCAGTACGTCATGCCGACGAGAACGCCAAGGCTTCCTCCTGATCCACTTTGCTCGCTAATCTCGCCACTCATCTGGCTTTTGAATACTCCAGATCGTTTTGACGTATTCTCAGCTGTAAGTCTCAATACGCGTGTTTCCTCTTCAGCTTCTAATTAGCTTTCGTTACAGGGTTTGGTGATGATGCAGTTGTCTGTAAAATCTTTGCGACATGAGAGTGCGATGGTAATCTTTGCAGATCAAAATTTCGTGTGTTACGAGCTTATGGAGGGACGTGGCTTAACTGCAGAAGCACTTTTCTGGAGAACTTAAGCGCGCAGGATACGATTTGAACAAGTGGAGGAAAAAATGCCAAGTTCCGAAGGAAGAGTTTTCCCTTTTGGATGCTGATGGTAATGATAATTGCGGCTTTACTGGATACCATTTAACTGTTTGTGTATTGTGAAGATGGCGCTGGCTGGGAGCTTGTAACTGCTTTGCTTCAACCGCGGCACGACAAGGCATTCATGATTTGGCCCAGTAAGACTGAAGCATGCATGCTAGCAGTTACTCTTGATCTGATTATTTATTTTCCAGGCCTTGTGAGAGGTCGTCCTTCTGCAGCAGCTGCACTGAAGCACCGTTTCTTTAGAGGGACTCGTCGTGTGGAGCCGATCAAGATTGAATTTCCGAAGTTTCCTCCTAACTTCGAACCAGCGGCTGTCCCGATGGCTGCGCTTTCCCTGATGGCAGAATCTGGTGCTGGAATCAAAGTGTTACAAGAGAAAGTGGTGGGCGAAATGGCTACTAAAGTCAAGAGCCCAGAGTTCACATATGCTATTACAGCAGCTATTCCCATTGCTGCGTTGATCTGTTTGGGATTATCTTTGAGCTGGATGGTAAGTTTCTTTTCTTTCAGTTTGATTTCCGATAATACTTTCTTCTATTGGAAACAGCTGATGCAAGGGCTTCAAACGTCAGCACAGTTGTCCTACGGGGTCAGCCAGAATCTTGGGATAACTGGCCCAGCCTCGGCTGCGTTTTGCCTTTTCGTTCTCAAGTAAGTTACTCTGCGGATCATTTATGTGACTGACATCTCCAAATGCAGGCAATTGCTCGTCGGTCCAGCGGCTAAAAACAACAAAAACGACCAGCGGAGTACCAGCACCGGACTTGCGAGCGTTTCCGGCTATGGTGAAGTGAGAAGACTAGCGGAAGAAGTTGGAGCCTTGGACACTCGCCTGGGCTCGCTTGAAGCGCTGGTGACAATCGACGGTGGAGAGTCATTGGAAGACAAGCACTATCAGCAAATTGCTCGGGTTTGTATACATGTTTGTTCTCTTCGTGGTCTCATCTCAGTTTTGTTGCAGATGCAAAGCCTGTTGGCGCAACCGCAGCGATAACTTGTAAGCGGCTTCTATTCTCAACTTCGTTCTCAGGGAAATCAATCATCCATGGCTTGAGAATAGCTTTGCAAATTTTATCTTTGTGCTAAGGGGATGTAGCTCAGATGGTAGAGCGCTCGCTTAGCATGCGAGAGGCACCGGGATCGATACCCGGCATCTCCAAGTCCCGGCAGGCATGTCAACCCCAAAGTTTCAAGAATTAAGTTTTCCAAATATCGGCGCGAACGACCATCCTTTTTTTTATCGTTCCTGGTGAACAGGTCCGATTCATGACTTCGCGAGCTCTGGATTTAACTTGTCGTCGCATTTGCTTTGTTATCTCGTTCGTTTGCTTTCACGTCGCGCTCTACGCCTTCCTCTCCTGCCGCGGAGGTGAAAGTCAATCTCCTCTACAAGAAGTCCGATCGCACTGTTCCCTTCCTCGAGGCAAAGAAAGACTTCGTTGATCTCCTCATGAGCTTTCTCGTGCTTCCGGTGGGGTCTGTGATCAGGCTCCTGCGAGCGGGCAACACTGTGGATACCGGTGTGAATAGCGCCATGGTGGGCGGTGCTGCGAAGCTGTTTGAGACCATCGAGAAGATGGATCAGTCGAGCATGGAAGTTAGCAAGACCGTTCTCACCGACCCGGTGACGGATGCTTCCGCGTTTCGGGGAGGAAAGATTCTTACCTTAGAAGGGCCGGATTCCACTGCTCCGGTCTACAAGTGTGGGCGTCAAAACTGCTGCAATTTCAGCGCTGGCAGTACACACTTCTCATGCCATCCTGATTATTCTCATCAAGTGCTGAAGATAGGAAAATCCCCTCAAACTACTGGCTACGTCAAGGACAATGTGATCTTCATGATCACTGACGAGCTCGAAGTCTACCCGACTTCCACGATCAAGAGCATCGTCCTGCTCAACACGCTCAAGGTGAAAACTATGGAGGTCAGCGTGGGCGTTAACGAGGTAAATTCTCAGTTTCTTCTTTTTGTTCTTCCATACTTCCCTGCTCAAGGCGTCACTGGTTTCAAAGACTGTGCTCAACGACGTCTTCAAACCTTACGTACAGCGATCTTATTTTACTTCCTAGAATAATCATGCCATGGTTTTGAAATCTTGTTCTTCTTCTTAGTTCGGGAAGGCATTCAACACTAAAAGAGAAAATCATGACAAGTTTGTGAGAGAAAACCATGGGACATTCCCCATGTTTTCACTATTCATACTCTCAATTTCTTGTCCAAACTTGCAGAGGAATGGGTGCTCCATCCTGGGCATGCGCTGCTGGAGATTCCAGAAGACGATCTTGGATATTTTTTCCTGGAGTTTAGGCAATATGCTTTAGTTTCCGCTGGCTTCTTTTGACGGCATTCTGGCATTGAAGACTTCTTCGCTTCTCCTTTCTTGAGTTCTAAAATTTGTTGCTCAACATTTTTTTCTCTGATAGGAAATTTCCAGGTTGGAAGCACTTGGCAATGCAACTTCCAAGTCAGATCAACTAAGCAACAGAGTAGTTGGTAATCAATTCCAATGTTTCTTTTCTTGTGTTTGCACATAATTTTATATTTATTTTACAGTGAAATATCACTACTCAAAATAGAAAAGATAAAAATATCTAAAAATTTGCTATTTCATTTTGTAATTTAATTACAAACTACTCTAAGTGATAAGATATAAATAGATTATCTTAGCTACTGATACAAGTTACGAGAATTTGGGGAATTTTCAATTTTCAGCTCCAAGCTTTCAAGGACTCAAATCAAAGTTTACTAACCTATTGGATGTTGTTTAAGCAGGTTAATAAATTATAAGCATGTATATATTTATAAACAGAGGATTAATATAAATATATTTAAACCCTTAGATAGTAGAATATACCAAAATATCCAGGTATATTCTAAATAGATTTACTATTTTTAAACTATGACATGGCTATAGAGAGTGGTGAACTTAGTGCGAAAATCAGATATATCTACAGGATTTACCAATTTATACTATATACTATATATTAGCCCTAAGTAGTAAAGCAAACCAAAAATTAAATTCACTAGCCCATATTTATACTAGGATCTTATTTTCTTGTTTTACAGTGTAATGATTTTCTATAAATAAATAATGATTCATATAGTAAAACTTTTATATATTCAACTTGAGAGAGAGAGAGAGAGAGAGAGAGAGGGTTTAGATCCCTAATCTAGAAGCTAATCACATTGAAAGATAATCAAAATTGTGAGCTGCAAGGCCCATATATAAAGATATACAAAAATGTACATATTTAATTAGCCCAAAGACCAATTACATTGGTTTAAATTTAAATCATCCCTGAATTTTATTTATATTTCAATAATTTTATGTGTCCAACTCAGAGTCGTAACTCCTCCTTCATAGCTGCTCGGTCAGCAGGAGAGCGCGCCATGACTAGGTCAACCTCGTTCCCAACATCGGAAAGCCTCACATCCGAGTACGACGTCATTCCGGTGACATATCGCACATGAATAAAGTTACCTGCCGACATCGCCAACATCTCCTGTTTCCATTGTACCCTGTTGCCGCAATAGATTTCCGCTAGGACAGCTTTCGCACCTATAAACTCATGTTGCACTATCTTCTTGCAAATTGCCTCATACTTCTCGGGAGAGAAGCCCATCGCAGGTGTAGCTGCGAGGCCCATTTGGATCGTTCCAAGGCTATTGCACATAACAGAATGAGCTGCTACCTTCCAGCTGATGGGGTTGTGAGCAGCAGCGCGAGCACACAGATTAAGGAGCAGAGGAGACCCACCACATACCTCGTAGATGTCCTTCCAATCAGAGTCTCCAAACGCTGGAGGGAGTGTCCTGCCAGCAGCCGGAATAGAGTGACCATCAAAGAACTTACGTGCTTCAGATTCTGGAAAGTATCCCACACCAAACGGCTCCCAGTGTCCAGGATTGAACATGTCCCGGAGCCATACCCTGAAGAAGTCGTCCGAGCTACTGAGTATAAGATACGCCCTGTTATCCTGCTTCACCAGAGCCCTGAAGAAGCCAAAGAAGGTCTCAAGATCTTCCTTTTCCCACTTCTTCAGCCTATCAACCTGGTCGAAGATGAAGATTGGATACGTCATTTTAGTTCCGCCGATTAGTGCAGAGAAGGCGTGCATCACCTTGGCCAGATCGCTTGCCTTAGCCTCGTTACCAAGCGGAAGAAGCTCTAAGACATCTTTCAGCGCTATGTCCACACCGAGACTCCTGCCGCCTCTCTTGAGGGTGACGGCACTCAATCCCTGCTCCACACTTTTCGCCCAACTCATCAACATATCTGTCCATCGCCAAAACATTTTCCGCATTTGGTCCGCTGCATCCTGAGGACTGCCCCACGCGTCCGTCCTCATGTCAAAGTAGAACACTGGAGAAGTGGCCGCCAATTCCTCGTCTGAAAGCCAAATCTCCTTCAGCCGCTTGAGCAGCTTAGTTTTCCCACAATCATTTGGCCCAATAACCATGGTCACAGACACCGGACGAGTAGCCAGGCGTGCCTGCAATGCCCTCAGCTCCACCTGGCGATTGAAGAAGCTTTCGTCGCCATCTTCCGGCACCACAGCTTGCAGGCCCTCGACCTTTGCAGCACGCGCATCCCAATCCAAACCACTGTCCTCGCCACTGGACATTGCCGCTCACCTGGGTATTAATTAGGGCTCCAGATCCAGCCGTCCATTGATAAGAATCTAACGGTTTGGATTTATGCTACCAGAAGATGTTCGGTTTGCGATCCACAGATCCTCGGTTTCCTTGTCGGAAACAGATCTTCTCGCAAGGACTCGCTGCTTGCAGGACCTCTGCTGTGATGCCATTGTTCTCAGGTGCTTTGTGACGAGGTAGCCGCTGGATCAGATATCATCAATCTGCGAGACGTAGTTTCATTAAATATCATTGAGGAGTGTGACTTTCTTGCGTTTGCATAAAATCACGTGAGCATGAGCATGTAGGTCGTGAATGTGGTCTCATTAAGCGTCCTAGGTACAAATGTCCGTTTTTTATGCTTGCATAAACACCAAAAAGTCTTGTGGAATCTTTCAGCATGTGGATGATGTTGGTTCATAGCTTGTTGTTATTTAAGCTTAGCTTCCTAGCAGTCATTATCCCACCACTTGCTCTTGGGAAGTGTGGCAGCTGGAATCTTTGTTTGACTACCAATGTTTCTTGGGCAGCCTGAACAAGCATGGTGGTGTCTAGGTGAAGATTTCCACTTTGATTGGTTGCTGTTGATGCTGAAGTTTGTGGCAATTTAATACAGCTTTTTCACATGACAATACAATGATAGAAACAAGAGAATGAGAATAAAATAAATAACTTAAATTATATAACAATACAGTTATAGAACTCAATTCTCCCTTTCCTCAGAAATGTTATCTAAGTCATAACTAAAGCTTGGAAACACTCTCTACACATCATCCTTAATTTCCCATGTAGCTTCGTCTATGGAATAACCATTCCATTGAAATAATAACTCCCTAGTTATCTTCTGGCATGAGTTCACTAATCTTTAAGCAAAAATATTGGCTAAACCAGCCTTTTTAGCATCAATCTTTGGGATCTAGATGATGAATTAATCCATGACATCACTAGAGTGTAAACATGCTTTAAAATTGCTCACATAAAATGTTGGATGAATCTTCAAATTAGTTGGTAAGTCCAAAGTGTAAGCAAGATCCCCTATATATTATAAAATTGTTTAAAACCTCCAATACTATAGAGACAACTTAGCATTACCACTTCCTTTTAGAGACCATTATGCATTTAACAGCTTAAAGAAAACTTTGTCACCAACTTTGTACTCCTAATGATGATGATGCTCATCAGCCAATCCTCAATTTAGAGTTTGGCTCATATTTAGCTTTACTAACTTAAGCTTGCCTTGCATATCTTCCAGGAAATCACAAATATGAAGCACCTAAACCAAAGCCAAACTCAAACTTACAAGAGACCTAAACTCATAACCATCCATTGCCATGAATAGAGATATACTATGAGTGTTTTTGTGAGCAAACTAAAGCAAAGGCAAGCACTTCTTCCATACTCTTTGTCAAGTTAAGTTTCACACAAAAGAGCTTTTAACAATTGATTCATATGCTTTTTTTGCCCATTATGGATATTGACCACTACTCTCAACTTAGTGTCTAGCTTTTCAAAGACTGTTTGCCAAAACTAGGATATGAACTTGAAATCCCAATCACTCACAGTATTACTTGGCAAATCATAGAAACTGAATAATTGATCTACAAATAACTAAGACACAACAACCTAAATAACATCATTTTTTTCGAAAGGTCTTGGGTAGACCTATGATAAAGTCCATCAAGATGTTATCCTACTTGTTCTCGGGTACATATACTTGATGAATTTGTCAACACGAGGAACCACTACATGTCCCTTCTTCACTAGAATTCCATTTTATATTTTGAATGATGCAAACTTTTAATAAAACATTGCAAGTTTAGCAGCTCATTATAGATGCCTGTAAGATTAAAATAAAGATCATGGAACTTGCGAGTATATGCATCCAAAGATAAAATCCCATGCCTAATCCCTACTAGTTAGTTCATGAGATCAACCTCTTCACACTTCTAATGAAGTATGGAAAACCTTTGTCAAATCATTTTAAGAAATCAGCTTGGGATTAACTTTGATGTAATTCTTCCACCACGAAAAAGCATGATCTATAAACTTCTTTAATCTTCACTTCATCTATAGAAGGGTTGTGAGACTAAACTTTCTCACAATTCCAACTAAAAATCAATCTCCCAAATATTTGGTGATGACTTCCATAACCATAATCCTTGGTATATTTAATATATCAATGGTAATCATAGATATAAGATTAATTTAACCCTTGAGGGTTCATGTGAAGCAGGAAATCTTAGTCTTGCAAGACGACTTCCGGAAAAAACAAATAGTAACATTGATAGAATCCTTAACCTCCTTAATATTGCTTTAAATCATAGAAATATGGCAACTTACCATATAATGACATCATCAACCTCCTCATTATAGCCATTATCATTAATGTCATACTCCTTATTAAGATTTATATCCCCATCCCCAAAAGAATGTGCTACTTTGATACCAATGAAGCAAACAAAGAATAAACCCTAAGTCCCAACCTTTTAAGGCATTACTACCTTAAATCCCATAGGCCATAAAATATCCTTAGAATATTCCTATGGTTTGTGGGTGGATACACATCCTGAACACCTAAAGTGGATCACCAAGATCCCCCATCACTGGCCTCCTTAGCCCAATTCATTCCCAGCCCCTAGAGGGCTCCAACCTTTTGATCCATGTCTTTAATACCTTGGGTGGATCACCAAGAACCCCGCTCAACTCATTGGCTGGATGTGTGGCAGCTCCAACCCTTGGATGCCACACCCCATAACCAAATCTACTAGCTGTCCTAGCCAAGAAAGTCCCTTGGGCCATGCATGCCCTTCACACATGCATGTCACTTGTGCAGCCCTTCATAGCGAGGTAGAAAAACAAGCTTCAGTTATACAAAAAATGAAAGTGACAACAAGGAATTCAAATAAACTCTAGCATGCCCAGCCCAGATGTGATGAGGTGCCCCTTATCTCCAGGCAAGGGTTACTAAAGTTCACACTAGGTCAAAACCTTCACTATGCTCAAATCTTGATCACCCATGCCATTCCCAAACTGATCCTCTCCCAGCCCTAGCTCCTACCATGCCTTCCTACATCCTAAGAAGTCCCATTGCCCAATCCTCTCTAACAAACTGGTTCTTCCTGCCACGTCGGATTCACCTGCCATGTGTCCATGTCATCTGTCTCACTTTGTTCTACGGGCTTGTTGTTGACCGCTTCACAGTTACCCTAAAATTTGATACCATGTGAGAAAATGTGAGGGAGCTGCCTGGCCACGATAGACAGAAAAGAGGATACAGTAATGCTCTTGCTATTTATCTCACCAAAAAGACTAAGAAAGACTAAGATGGAATGGACACAACCTCCTTGCCATGGTGCCACGTAATCCAGCGCAAGTGGAGAACTCAATAGGTTCTACAAAGTATAATACAACATGCTACTCATCGAATGCTACTAGCGCTTCTGGAGAGGCCACTGGGTTTCATGTCGCTGCCGCATTTCTTGTTGGGCGATCCAAACACCCTCCAGAAGCGCAGCGTCTCGTCCGCGGCCGCAGATGCAACGGTAGTTCCCTCCGGGCTCTACACGCAAAACAGGAAAAGCCACTGGGAAAAGCTGGAGAAGAATAATAAACCTGTGCCAAATGGATCACTCGAGCAGTATGGCCCCGGAGCTCGGCAATCCTGATCATCGACGGATACTTCCACACACACAGCTGGTTGAGGCTGTAGCCATGGCTGCTGAGAATCTCCTTTTGATGCCTGCTCCACTGTAGAGCACACACCTGGGTGAAAATATCGAGAGCTTAGCGAAGAAAAGATAGAGAGGAGCAAAGATGGAGAAGAAGAGAAGATCACCTGGGACAAGGTATCGATGCTGCTGAGACACGTCCCGGTTTGAGTGTTCCAAAACTTGATGCATCGATCCACAGTTCCACCACCCGAGGCCAGCAAGCGCGACTGGAACGGGCACCAGGCGAGTGCCTTGACAGCAGCTCGATGGCAGTCGAAGCGGAACGCACACCTGGAGCCGGGATGGATGGAATCGAACGTGGACGCCACTGCCGCGTCCCAGATGTGGAGGAGATTGTCGTTGCCGCCGCTGGCCAGCTGCTGGCCGCACGGTGACCACTTCAAGCCACACACCTCCTGGCAGTGTCCCGCGAGAACTGACGCCTTGTGTGCTCGAGCGCGCACTGCAAAGCTAATCGATCCATCATCGGAAACAAACCAAGGTTTTACCATCGTGGTTTATAATCTTGTGGTCGCGGCTTCCGGACGACAGGAGTGATCCATTCCAAGCCAGAGACGAGACTCGTGATGAGTGACCGCGAAAGGTTCGAATCTACGTGTTCCAAGAAAGAAGAGCTTGCATGAGGAAGTTAAGATCACAAAACCTGGCTTCTGCTGGTGGCATGCCAGAGTTGGATGCATGCGCTGCTCAGTCCCACTGCGATCAATCTTCCATCGTCGGACCATGCAACGCTTGTCACCGTGTCGTGCTCCTCGCATTTGCTAAGTTGGAAGCTCTCGCCGGTGTCGGCGTCCCACAGGTAGACGGCAGAACCCAGAGCGACGGCGACTGTGTTGTTGCAACTCCAGTCCAGTAAGTTGAGGTAGTAGTCGTCCACGATCTCGGGGGCATCCAGGATTCTCTCAGGAGTCTTGCGTCACGGTTACAATGAAGAACATCGATTGACAATGTATGTACCTGGCATATGTGTCGATGTGGTTTTTTGGAAGAAGGCAAGATGTCCAACTCTGTGTCGAGACAACGCTGGATGCTCAACGAGGGGATTTTCTTTGTGAAGGCCAGGATCTTGGGGCTCCCCGTCTCGCAGCTTAGAAGACTCTCGGCCAGGATGCGTCTGTAATCTTCCTGGCAAGGAAACGTTAGGCGACATTGCTTCTTTGGACTCTTTACCTTAACAGGCGATGCAACCTCGGATGGAGTGTGGCTATTTTCCCTGGCTTCGTGGAGCAGATTAAAATGCGCTAGATCCAAGTCCATGGCTCCTCTGTTGGGAATGAAACGATCGCCCTGGATATCACCGATTACATGGAAGATATGAGAGGAGCTAGCTACCATGGAGATGGAAGGCCTGCGCGCCATTGGAGAGAGGGGCGCAGGGGAGAGCCGGGTCCTGCTTGCCATATTCAGATCACAGCGCCCACCTCACACGACAGAAAAATCAGCAAGAAGATTGCCCTAATTAGATCCAACGGCCTGGAACGTTGTCTCTTCCAACGGTCATCTTCAGCTGAAAGCTGCCATGGTTACTCAAGAATGCCAGTTCAATCTGATGCTGGACGAGACTGTTCCTTGATGTGCTGGAACAAAACATTGGTAGCGTATTGTTTTGAAAGGCTTTTCGACAATTATTTCCACACCTTTCAAGCTCATGAAGAAGAAATCGTTCTCGTCTTGCCTGCAAGAGCTTGATGTGTAGTCAAGCTTGGAAACAGAATAAACATTTGAAGAAAGCGGGCACGACTCACAGTTTCCACATCTCCTACACTTGGGGTGGCTCGCAAGAAGCTCCCGCAAACCAGCCGACGAATGAACCAAAGGAAAGACAAGCATCATAAGCTCCAATCTCATTCGATTTATTATACCGATCATAAGACGACATTCGTCCCTCACACAAATGCAAAACGGGAGAAAACTCGAACAAAGGGAAAAGGTACTCACAGACAGCCGCCGATAGGCTTTTCTGCACGCGCAGTGACAGGCTGGAAGTTGAAAATGCTCCAAAACTCAATACCTTCTTCACAGGCTTTGCACGCTTCGAGGAGTAGCTTCAGCTGGAATCTCCACAGGATCAGCAGTAGCTCCAGACGTAGCCTTAGCTGGAATCTCCACGCGTAGATCAAACATCTGGAGCAGAGATTAGCATCAAAAATCTAGAAGATCAATAACAAAAGATGGTACTAGGCCGGGAAACAACCATAGAAAACGCGTACCTGGCTGCATCCCTGGTGAGGTCGCTGGCGGGACCATTGAGGTGTGCTCTCTCACAGTAGCAATGTTTTCCTTGGCGCAAGCATTGCTCTGTGCGAGCGCCCTAGTGACGAAGCGCCTTCGATCGTCTTTGCCAGCATCTTCTCCACGGATCCAGTCAGAGCCTGTGGAGCCTTCCATCTTGTGCATCACGTTCATCACGGAGCCTTCAACCTTGTCAACCACGAAATGGAGAACCAGAGGCGTGGCACCAGCGACAATCAGCGACTGCGCAAGAAAAACTGGAAGATCTGGCCACCCCATTTCAATCGATCGACCCGACAGCACAGCGTCATATATGATAGCTTGCAAGCGATCCTTTCCAAGGGATAACTACAGCCTCGTTTGCAGGCGAGAGGGATAATTACACCTTGTTTGCAAGTGCTAGCTGATGGTCCAAATCATGGCACTGCCAGGCCACTTATGCTACAAAAAATCATTGCTCAAGATATGGTAAATTTTGGTTACTTGAATCAAAAAATATTATATGCCAGAAATTTGTAAGTATTCTTATATGGTAGTATTATTTTTTAGAACATTATATATTTTAGAAAACATGAATGTATTCATTTAATTATTTAATTAATATGAAATGTTTAGGATAACCTCTAACTCTAGACACAAGTCCAAAAATGATCAATGAAGAAGTGGCTTACAAGCTCAAATGCAAAAAGGTTGACCAACTCCAGCTCACTCTAGAGGAGACATTGGAAGCATGAAGTCAAAGGCCAATCTTTTGGCGTGAAGCCACCCTGCTGTATCAACTGCAGACCATGGACAGCTGCTAGGGCTACCCCAACGCGCCGAGTGATGCCATAGACACTTCCAGAAAGTGGTCACCACAATAGAGCGTTCAACAATGAACAAGTTCAACCAGGCATACAAAATCTTCAAAAAGAAGACAGCACCAATCTTTATTGATGAGGTGGACCTGGATACAGTACTTATATGAGCTCAATTGAGTGTGACACCCCACTGGCGTTCTGTGAGAAACAGGTGGAGGAAGCAATCAGCCGCCTCCACCGGTGGAAGGCCACAGACGTGTATGGGTTTACAGCGAATACATGGTGGCTAGTAACATCATCCAGGACGGTAGCTGGACCATCAATTGTGTCGTTCCGATATACAAGCAAGGAGACCCAAGGAAATTATAAGACAATCATGGTCTCCACCATCTTTGCCAAGCTCTTCACCCGACTAGTGGAGAAACGTCTTATCCGATGGAGCGAACAAGCGGGAGTCAGAGCATGAGGTCAAGTAGGGTTTCGACCGGACATCACAAAAGCGTTTGATAGTCTTGAGGACCAAACTCTTCCAGCACCTTAATCCAGCAGCTGTACACGAGAGTGAAAGCAGATGTCCAAGGTCGCAGCCCAAATCCCGTGTGACACCGGTTTGCCCTAAGGCTGCCCAGATGGTCTGGAAAAGATGATGGCGGATGATGAATGATGAACTCGTCGATGATATGCAGACGATATCATTGGACACACTCCACCGATTCTGCCAAGATACGGGATTACAGATTAACCTTGGTGTTTGGACCAGATCAGGAGAGCAAATTCTGGTACGAAGGGAACAGATCGAGGCCACTGATGAGTACAAATACTTGGGGCACATAATCCACCGTTCTGTAGGGGTCCTGGCCAGGAGGCGCAATCGGACTGTAGAAAAGCACGAGTGACAAGGTGGGAGGCGAAGAATATATATTTTCTCACGAAACTAACCACAGTGGCTCATAAATGTGGGGACCCGGACTATCTAAAACGATGTGGGAAAACCTGGAAACCATCGCATCAACCTTCTCCACTAAAACAGTGTGACAATACTTCCGCAAAACTAGATTGTCCTTGTTTGCGAGGAATAAGTGTGTTTCAGCGTCCCAGTCGATGTTTGACCGTCTCTGTGTCTTCCACGCAGACCAGGCAGATCCGGAGGTGTTTTCCCTGTCCACAGCGTCCGAGTTCGATGAGGAGGCTGTGGCTTCCTGTGCGGGGGCGATGGAGCGTCTGCTCCATTCTGAATGTTTCATCTGGGTTTATCTCCTGGCAATAAAGGTGATATTTTGTCCTAGTGTCCTCTGCCATGTATCCTTGTGTGCATCATTGTTCAAGATCCTCTTCAAGTGCGCTGAGAATGTAGTTGATATCCATGCCAAACTTGTGCATCCACATCTCCATGTCGTACCACCATCCTTGTCCATGTTGCCGTGCTAGCAGCTGAGAGTCAAGAATTGCTTGATGCCATATGGTATGAAGTACGCCAATTAGCTATGGAGTTGCAATGGCAAATACATGTCACACATGTAATGGAGGCAACCATAATCAAACGGCCAAGTAAAAGAAGATGGCTAGGCAGGGCCTGCGCGACAACAATGATGATGCCACCGACACAAGAGATAGTCTAACTTGCATTTTTGCATCCATCAGTCTCATGCTTCCAGTTGCACACCACAAGACTATCAAAACAGAATTTCAAAACAAAATGGCTCAGAGGGCTTTTTCTCATCTGGAACAGAGGAGTGTGAGTGGCGACTCACTTCAAAGCCACTTTCATCATCACCAGATTCGAACCGAGAACCAGTTGATTACAAGGCTCGCACCTAACCAACCGCGCTAGGTGCTACTCTTGGTAGTTGATTTAGACGCTGCAAACAGATCTCGCATGAATCTCCTGGCCAAGAGCACAAACACATCTTCCCAGAAATCCTGGAGGTTCCCACCATCGATGGTTACCTCCAGGAGCAACGCAAGCCGCCATCGATCCAAGACACCCGGAGGTATGCGCTGCTCCTCCGCCAATGCGGCGACCGCCGCGACTTGGCGGGCATCAAGGATCTCCACGCGAGGATCGCGAGGAGCGGCCAGGAGCGCAACCGCTACGTCGCAAATCTTCTCGTCCAGATGTACGCCAAGTGTGGGGATGTGGAGGAGGCCCAGATCGTCTTCGCCAAGATCAAGAACAAGAACGTTTTCTCGTGGACACTCATGATCGCAGCATTTGCCCAGAACGGGCATTGCGCGAGAGCGGTGGAGCTCTTCCGGGCGATGGACGTTCCACCGGAGGAGGCCACTTTCATCGCAGCTCTCGGGGCTTGCACCAAATGCGGCTGCTACGACCGAGGGCGAGAGATCCACGCCAGGATCAAGGAGTGTGGATTGGATTCCAGCCTCGTGCTCGGCAACACGCTCATCAACATGTATGGCAAATGCCGCGCGCTGCGTGACGCGAGGGTAGTTTTCGATCGAATGCCGGAGCGAAGCACCGTGTCGTGGAACGCGATCATCGGAGCTTATGCCCAGAATTCGCAGCACAGAGAAGCTCTGGAGCTCTTCCGGGAGATGATCACGAGAGCTCCAGGAGGGATCGTTCCGGACGAAGTTACGTTCCTTCCAGTGCTCCAGTCGTGCTCGGGGCTGCAAGACTTGGTAGAGGGCGAAGCGATTCACGATCTGGCAGCGAAACTGGGGCTGGAATCCAACGTTGTCATCGCCAACGCTCTCATCAACATGTATGGAAAGTGTGGCAGGATCGCAAAGGCCAGAGATCTCTTCGACCGGATGAAGAGGAGGAGCATTGTGTCGCTCAACACCATCATCTCCGCCTACGCTCTCAACGGCTGTGGTTTCCAGGCGATCGATCTCTACAAAAAGATGGCGGAGCTTGAGCAACAAAACTTCCAGCCAAACGATATCACCTTTGTGGTTCTCTTGGATGCCTGCGGCAGCGTTTCTTCGCTGGAGATCGGGCTGGAACTCCATCGAGAGATCGCTTCCCGGGGGCTCGAGTCCAGGATCAACGTCCAGAACGCTCTCATCAACATGTATGGGAAGTGTGGAAGCGTCGATAGTGCCAAGTCTGTGTTCCTGGCTATGGCTTCTTCTTCTCCTTCCTCCTCCTGTAGAGACGTGATCTCCTGGACAGCGATGATCACTGCTCTAGCCCAGAACAGCCGCGAGGAAGAGGCCGTGGGATTGTTTCGAGAGATGGAGCTCGAGGGAGTGAAAGCCAACGACGTAACTCTGGCCGCCCTGGCCACCGCGTTCGTCAACCTTGGGAACTTTGGCGATGGCTGCCACATCTATCCCCGAGTTGCCGCTCTCGGGATGAAGCTCGACGTGGTGCTCGGCACGGTTTTGATCGGCTTGCATGGGATCTGTGGTGAGGACGTGGTCACCGCGAGCAAGATCTTCGAGCAAATCGAGCACAGCAAGAAGAATGTGATCTCCTGGAACGCGATGATCGCTGTCTATGCTCAATCCGGGAAGAACAGCGAAGCTCTGGAGCTCTTCCGAGCGATGGACGTGAGACCCAACGAAGCTAGCATTGCTTCCTTGCTCCTTGGCTCCTTAACAAGCGTGGATCACCTCGACTTGATCCGAGAAGAAACGAGGATCCATAGCCTGGAGGGGAATCCCATCGCTGCCACGGCGCTGGTGAGTGCTTACGGCCGAGCCGGATCGATCGATGGAGCACGAGCGGCCATGGAGAGGATTCCCTGCGGAGAGAGAGACCTCGTGTCGTGGAACGCGATGGTGGCGGCGTGCTCTCAAAACGGCGCTGGAGAGGAAGCTCTGGATCTCTACCACCGGATGAATCTCGAGGGCGCTGTGAGGGCGAGCGAGATCACGTACTCGAGCGTGCTGATCGCGTGCCCGAGCCTGCGAGCTCTTCGATCGATCCACCACACGGTCGCCAGCGCCGGGTTCCTGGACGATCTGGGCGTCGCAAACTCGCTCACGAGCGCCTATGGGCGATTCGGCGAGGTCGATCGCGCGAAAGAGATCTTCGATGCCATGAGAACCGTGAGCGTCGTGAGCTGGACCGCAATCATCGCGAGCTACGCCCAGAACGGCCGCGTCCGCGAATCCCTGGAGCTCTTCCTGGGCATGGCGCTGGACGGGATCCATCCCAGCGAGGCCACCTTCACGAGCATCCTCTACGCTTGCAGCCACGCCGGGAAGATCGAAGAGGCGTGGCGCTGCTTCGCCAGCATCCACGGCGATTTCGGGATGGAAGCGAACGAAGAGAACTACCGGTGCGTGGTGGATCTGCTGGGGCGAGCCGGGAAGCTGGAAGAGGCCCGCGATCTGGTCCAGAGCATGCCATTCCCGGCGGATGGAGTGGCGTGGACGACGCTGCTGGCCTCTTGCAAGACTCACGATCGCGAGGAAGAGGGCAGAGACGCCGCGCGAGAGATGATCGCGCTGGAGCCGGACAATGGCGCCTCGTACGTGATGCTTTCCTCGATCATCCCATTGCATTGAGCATTCTTCTATTAGGGTTCTTGATAGAAGCTCGAGGATTTCCAAGGCAAGGTCTCTCTCTCTCGACCTTTCTTTCATGGAATTTGACGAGTACTTCCACATACCCATTCGCGAGCGCTGGAAAGAAGGCAGTGATCCATCCCTTGGCAATGTGGAGCTCCAGCGCCAGGGAGGTGAGTCAATCCATGGAATCTTCTCTATTTCCAGCACAGATTCTAGATCTCTCAATCCATGATCGTAGGCGCTGCTATGAAGCGATCGATCAGCATGTGCTCAAAGATTTCTAGAGCTTCTCCTCAGCGATGGAAGTGCACCAAAAAAATATTCCTAGCGGGGCTTTAAATGGTGGTGCTAAGGTCTTTCCTTTTCATTGCTCCGTGAGCGATGATCCCTGAGAGTGTCCAGGCGGGCAGCAAAGCCCAGCTCAATGGAGAGCTCGCGGAGGACTTTACGATAGAGTCCAAGGTAACGCTGGTCACGCTTCTCAAAGACGCTCTCTTTAAACTCGATTCCAACGAAGGTGGCGACGCTCCAGGCGTCGAGGTATGGTTCTTAGCTTCAAGGACTTTACGAAATCTTCTCCTGTTTTTTCCAGTCTCTGGCTAGTCTTTTGGTTTCCGCGGACGCGGAGATCGTGGTGTTGGCCTTGGAAGTTCTCGCCGCGGCTCAAACCAAGGATGGTTATTCTTCCAAGACGATGAGCTACGTGCGAGAGATATCTTACGGATGGCCAAGCAGGGATCAGTGGTTCTGTGCAAAGGAGGCAGCTTGGAGTCTATACTTCGAGTTCTATCAAGATGGGAAGCTGGAAGTCATTCAGGTTGAGGTGGAGGAGCTGTGTAGGGAAGATTGCTTGGATCTCTTCAACAGGTTGGTCCGTGACTTCAAGGTGCCTGGGGAGCTCCGGTTTTCTTTGCTCACCAGGATTCGCTTCGCAAAGGCATTCTCATCGGCAGAAACTCGGTACGAGTACCTTCGAATTTCCATCTTGGCTCTGGGGCTCGTACCGCATGTAGAAAAATCCCAACTCTTGGACTTGGAGGCGGTGGCGTGCGATGGAGTTGTTCCAGAGAGTGTTCGAATCTCGGCACTGTATGCACTGGGAGCTCACGGAAAGGAGGACATACTCACGACCGCGGAAAGAGATGCAAAGGTCCATGAGTTTCTCAGTGGGAAAGTCCAGCATTCCAGTGGTTTTATCAAAGCTTTGCTGGATAATTCCTCGGCCCCCATAGATCTCCAGGATGAAGACAGGAAACGCCGCCGTCAGCTTCCATCCTCCGTCTTTGGAGTCCTGAGCTTGAACGAGGCCTTGATCTGGCTTGAAGACGAACTCAAGGACATCAGCAGTAGCGATGACGACTCGCTCAGGGAAAAGCAACGAATGATCAGAGACTTGCTTTCCAAGGCCTTCGAGGGGGGTGAGGGAGAGGTCGAGCAGTTCTTGGTAAAAATCTTTGACAATCCCAGACTGTTGAGGGGGACTTCAAGCAGCTCAAAGGTGTCCACTGATGGCTGGAAGATTGTGGAAGCAACCATGTCCTGGAAGTTATCAGATGAGTTACACGCGAAGTTGGCCAAGTTGATTCTAGACGACGTGACAGCCGTTCCTGAAGCTGTGCTGCTCAAGGCACTGAGTGCTAGTTTCATGTCGACTCTCGTTGGGGTTGGCGGCTACGAGTTTCTTCGCCAGCTTCCGGTGTCTGTGGTTATGAAGCTCGAAAGATTTCCTCCCACAGACAAATGTGGGGGTTACGCAGAGATGGCCAAGAGTTTGTGCGAGGATTTTGGATCGTTAATCGAAGGGAAGTGCGCTGAGAAGGTGGAGGTGCTACCCTGGATCGTCGAGCGGATGCTATTCAACAACGATGGTCATTGCAACGCTTTTTTTTTCAAGCAGCTCTTCATGTCCGGCGCATTGGACAAGCTGTTGATCGCCTTCGAAGCTTTCGGAAGCTGCTCGACACCAGTTGGAAGCTCGACGACAGGGATGGCACCATCGCTAGACGTGTACTTCTCCATTTTCTGCCAGCTTTTGGACTCGGAGTGGGCGGACCTTACAGGAGAGGAGGACGAGAAAAGAATCAAGCAACAGATTTTCTATGCGGTCCTTCGCGTAATTCGACTCTGTGACATCTCCCAGTTCACTCCAAGGATGGCGGCAGCGGTTCTCGAACAGTTGTGCAAGAAGAACCCTGCCGAAGTTGACGATTTGGCCGTTTCAAAACTGGTGTCAATGGGATACGATAAGGCAGTGGCGAGAGCAGCGCTGGAGAAGACAGGAGATTCCATTGAACGAGCCGTTGAGAAGATGGCTGAGGAAAACTTGCTGGAGACAAGCTTTCCACCAATGCTGGAGATGGTCGACCTCCTCTTGAAACTTATGAACTGTCACGGCTCCGAGGATTTGATTCTTACCATCTGGAGGAACGGCGTGTTGCACGAAAGAGAGACCGCCTTGGTGTCACTGGTTTGCCAGCTGGGATCTGAGGCAGCAGCTGCGAAGCTTTTAGCACTCCTGGTTACGAAAGATACCACTGCTGCTGTTGTTATTCGACGGCGTGGTATAGCAAACCAGTTTCTAGAGCTCTTGTTGTCTCCGAAATTTGAGACTTCAGTAGAGTCAGCTGCAGTGGTTTTAAGGCTTCTGTTTGGAGGAGGCGACCACGGTGGCAATCCTTTTGCTGCAAGTGTCATGTCCGAAGATCAGCACAAGCAAGCGGTAGTTTGGTTTGGAAACTTCATCTGCCAGACTCCTCCTACAGCTCATGGACCAAAGCTGCTTAAACTCGGTGAAACTCTGACGAGGAACCGCAAGATGGCACTGGAGCTAGTGACAAATGCGAGGGACTTGGCTGTTCTTTTCGAAAGGTTGCTCAACCTAAGCGTCAACCCGGATTCTAAGAGTTGCGCTTGCAAGACGGTGTTGCATCTGCTGGAAGACCATCAGATGTTATACCACAGGATGGTGCGGGCGATTCGAGCACGTTTGTTGGCCAATGCGGCCGATGTGCATGATTTTTTGAGAGATATGTCGTCCTGGGCATTCAGAGAGCCCGCCATCTTCTTGCGAACATCATTTGACACCTGTGAAGTTGTTCGTGTGGGGAAGGACCAGCACTACATTTTTCTTAAGGGGGGTCAAGTCACCGGCAATGGTGGCGACGAAAGTGCATTGGTTTCCACCCATTTTCTCGACGTTTTTGCTCAGCTGCGCGATCCTCTTCTGGCCCGGCTAGACGACGTCAGGATTGAGCTCTTGACCAAGATTTATGACGAGTTTCCAGATTTTTTGCTCGGCCACGAAGCTGGAATTCTTGACCGGGTGTTAGAAAGTGAGTCAAAGGCATCCTCGGTGAGCAAGTTCTTAAAGGCTGTATGGCGGGAGAACAGGGACAGTGTCCTCCAAGCTCTGATGAAGGCGTTTTCCTTGGAGCTGATAAGTACCTCGAAACTCGTCCGTCTTTCAAAGGTTTTGGAGAGCTGCTACGAGTTCCTGGATGCTCTTCTTGCCGACCGTATAGTTAAGAACCTTGCTGCGCTCGACTTAGACCATCCAGAGGCAGCAGCGGTCGTAACTTCAGTTTTTGAGGTGCTGGCAAACTTTTTATCGAGTCACCGACATCGTCCCGTTGTTTCCATTCCGCCATATGTGTCGGAGGCTGGTGTCATCGCGTTTCTACAGGCGATGTACGCCACAGCAGAGGATCCCGTTGCTGCAATCAGCACTGGTGCCGAAGAGACGACACAGAATATGTGGGCATTTTTGGCGACGCTTGATCCGGACTTAAGATTGCAGGTACTTCCCAGTTTCCATTTCTCGTGCAGAAATATGTTGAAGTGTTTCTCGTGCAGATACTTCGGACCTGCCCGGACTTGCTTCCGGAGCTAACCCAGCATCAGCAGGCACCAAATGTTGCGTTACAAGACCAAGCTGCCGAGCATGACAGACATCATACAGAAGATGAGCATGAAACCGAAGAGGAGGATCAAAACGAAGATGAGGATGATGAGTATGCTAATGGTGAAGATGGGACGGAAGATGGAGATGGCGAGGATGATGTCGAGGAGGATGACGAAATGCAGGATGGATTAGAAGGAGATCAGTGCGAACAAGAGCAAGAGATTTTTCCTCAGTCATGGGTGGTTGACAACGACGACTTGGAAACACTCGTCAAGTTTCTCCGGTTTGCTCCAGAGTCATTTGACGAGAGGAAATTGGTCTCTTTTCTGAAGAAGCACACAAATCATGCTGAACTGGCGAGGGTGCTTGTTCGTATGCTCCTGAGAACCGAAAACTCACGAGCTTTTGGATCACCTGCCAATGGTCTTTTCCATCGCAACTTCGTTCTTGGTAAAGCTCAGTATTACTCCCTTCTAACCATCTAAACATTGTTTTGTTTTTTCCAGGAGTTCCCTGCTTCGTGCTGAAACGACTGTTGTGCCTTTTTGCTGAACTTGGTGGGCACCGTAACTCTTCCGTGTTGGCGTCACTAAAAGAAGACGACGTAGTCTCGATCGTGGCTTTGCTCTTCAGTCTGCTGGACGATCTCAAGTTTGTGGCGTCGGCGGTGCGTTTGCTAAAGCTCATGACTCTAGAGCTCAAACGCAACAAAGAAACAATCGCCATAACTGTTTCAGACGTGAAGCTTTACAAGCTGTGTGATCTCTATGCCGTCAACGCAAGGTAAGAATCAAAACCGGTTCCCATACTGAAACTTGTAATGATGTTGCAGTGTGGGGGACGTTTTAGGCAACTTGATCGCTATAAATCCAGCTCTTTCCCCAGCTATCCTCTCGCGAATGACGAGCATATCTACGAAACTCGTCAGCTCGGTCGTGAAGGAGCTAGAAGTTGGCGATTATACATCCACCGGTGCTGTTTTAAATCTTATACGAACGCTTGATCGAGTGGAGCAGAAGGATCTTCCGCACCTCGTCTCCGCTCTAGATCCTTTGTGGGGATTCGTACGCAGTGGCATGCCAAAGGCAGCACGGCCACTCGTCGGGGCTTTCTTCCTCGCGCAACAATTTATCTCGGATGCACCAGCACCCTCGACTCTAGCTCTTGCACGAGAACTGGTCGGGCAGAATGTCGTCAAAATCGAGGTCTTGCTTCCAGTGCTTCGAAAATGCCCCGGCCTTTTGGCTATGGAAGACAAGCATGAGTTCCTCCTGAGCAAGTTCCCGATTTCCGAGAGTGAGGAGATACGTATACACAGGCACGACATTCTAAAGGACTCTTACGAGGAACTTGGGCAGCGCTCGGCAGAAAAGCTGAAAAAGTTCCAGTTGAGTGTGCATTTCCGTGGAGAGGAAGGCGAAGGTGAAGGACTGGGACGCGAGTGGTTTCAGGTGGTGTCACAAGCCATTGTCGAGGAGCAAGCGCTTTTGTTCTCTCCAGTCGGGGATTGTTACCAGCCGAATCCAAGCTCGGCTTCTTGTCCTGGTCATCTCTCATACTTCAAGTTTGTTGGTCGCCTGGTAAGCGGTGGTGCTGCTCATCGCTTCTTATCTAATTCTACTTGCAAAAACCAGGCAGCCAAGGCTATCATCGACTCTCAAAAACTGGATATACGCTTCACTCGCTCGTTTTACAAACACATACTTGGAAGAGAAGTCACATACATGGACATGGAACCGGAGGTTTCCAAAAGCCTCGTATGGCTGTTAGAGGTAAATTTGTTCATTTCTTTTACACCCTCTTAGAAATCCTGATTTCCAGAACAAGGTTGAGGAGTCCATGGGCCTGAGCTTCAGCATAGACGATCATTCAGATGGACGCAAAGAGGTGAGTACAGCTTCTTTCACATCACCATATCCATTTCCTTTTGTTTACTGTAGATGGCGATTCATGATCTTATTCCTGGAGGTCGAGATGTTCCAGTGACTGAGGAAAACAAGCATGACTATGTGAATCATGTCGCCGACTACCGCTTGACAGGCTCGATCAAGCCGCAGATAGACGCGTTTCTGGATGGTTTCTACGAACTGATATCGAAGGATTTGATATCCATTTTCGATGTCAAGGAGCTAGAGCTGCTCATGAGTGGGCCTCCTGATGTAGACGGTATGTTTCTTCTTCTTGTCAAACCTCTCTCAGAGTGTGATTTTGTGTGCTTGCAGTTGAAGAGTTGCAAAAAGTTGCAAGATGTGAACATACTTATTGTATTTTGAAATGGTTTTGGGATGCAGTTAATGGCTTTTGCAAGGAGGACAAAGTTCGGCTGCTTAAGTTCATGACTGGGTCTTCCAAGGTATGACAAAAGATCTTATACTTTTTTACAAGCTTTTGTTTCACCAGATTTCAAACACGGGCATTTTGATAACTGAAGGTGGTGAATGGAATCAATTACCAACGGCATATACTTGGTAAGCATCAGTTTTGTCCTATGGTATTTGTCTAATATCATCGACATTTTAGCTCTGGGACTATCGTTCTTCCTCACTATCAGTCGAGAGAGCAATTGGAAGAGAAACTCTTGCTTGCTATTCGCGAAGGCTGCGAAGGTTTTGGCTTTGTATAGAGAAATTATTTCGATCAATGTAAAAAGTAGATCAAAATGGAACCCTTCTTCTACATTTCTTGCATGGCATAGATATTTGCCATGAGCACGTACTCTGACTTTGATTCCGCCAATGACTCAAACGCTGGTCGCCCGATGGTGGCGTTCCTCCACTTTTGACAAGCGCTGAGTAGCGCCCTCCACACCGCAGCGTCCGCCTCCACAGGCATCGTCTTGGCCAAGCTCCAAGCTTCTTCCAGCCGATTGGAACGTCCCAGCAAATCCACCATGCAGCAGTAGTGTTGGATCCCCGGAGTGATCCCAAACTCGGCCACCATCGCTCGGAAGTAGCTCTTTCCTGTCTCGACCAGACCGGCGTGAGTGCAAGCCGTGAGAATCGCGAGAAAGATCACACCATCAGCCTTCACGCCAGTGTCTTTCATCTGTCCAAACAGATCCAAAACTCGATCGCTGCTTCCCTGCCGACTGTAGCCTGTGATCAGCGAGCTCCAGGTAGCTAAGTCGGGCTTCTCGAGCAAACCATCGAAGTTTAGGTGAGCGTCGGTCATGTCTCCACACTTGCCGTAGAAACCAACCAGGGAAGCTGCCACAAACTCGTCGTCTTCCAATCCACTCCTACAAATCCCAGCATGGATGATCTTCCCAGCTTCCAAGTCTGCTAAATTTCCACACGCGACGAGCGCAGGAACGCAAGCTCTGGCATTTGGTGACGGACAGTGCACTCGAGCCTTCATGCATCCAAACAGCTCCACCGCAAGCCTGTTGTCGGAGTTCTCTGCGTAGCCGAGCAGCAGCGAAGTCCACGACACAACGTCGTGTTCTTCCATCCTGTCAAAAACCATCCGAGCATCCACCATGCTGCCACACTTGGAGTACATGTCCACAAGAGAGTTTCCAACGTAAATGTGTCTCAAGTTCCTTGTAGCAGCCGCTCGAGCGTGCAAAACCACCCCTTTTTCTAGTGATCCCATCTTGTCACCGTTTCTGGTTGCTAGATTCGAGCAGGCCTTGAGAGCAGCCACGAAAGTTAAGTGATTTGGTTCGCAGGAGCCTGGCTTGGAAACCATTCGAGTGAAGAGCTCCAATGCTGCCTCCTCCTGGTCGCTGTCTGCGTAGCCGGAGATGAGAGCAGTGTAAGAAACCACGTCGGGACGAGCGATGGCATCGAAGACTTTGCGAGCCTCGTCCATGCTCTTGCACTTTGCGTACATGTCGATCAAGGTGGTGGCCACACGGATGTTTGAGTCGAGCTTGCTCGCCACCGCGTAGCTGTGGAGTTGCTTCCCATGGCACAAGTCTCTCGAGACACTACATTCCTTGAGCGCTGCGAGGAGTTGGACCCTCTCGTCTTGGAAATCGATTGCTCTCCTCTGCCATGAAGTTTTAGATTACAAGAAGAAGAAGAAGAAACACAAAGAAAACTCACGAGTTTGTGTTGCTCATGTAGTGATTTACTTCTTTCTTCTCCCTGTTGATGCAAGTGTGTCAAGCCAGAGGAAGAAAAATTGGTTGAGAGAAAGGCTACTCACGGGTGCTCTTTGGTCGTGAAAAAATCGCTCTGTTACATGTTTGATCTGGCATGGTTTGCTTTCGGGTAAAAACTGGAAGAAGGGAAAAACAAAGAGAAATTCAAATGCTCACGAGAGTGTGTTGGCCGCGGAGCTGAGCTGCGAGAAATCTAGCCCTTTTGGTTATAGCATCAATCGTTGCTGCCTAGAACTAGAAGAAGCAAATCTAAGAGCAAAGCTTTTCTTTACAAAAGAAATACTCACGCTCTGGTCGAGAGAAGGTCAGCCCCGATCGCCCAAAGCGCCCAAACGATCGATCCGGGAAGAAAATGCCCGCCCTCGAGATTTAGGGTTTATTCACTTTTCTCCCCTTTGGAGAAATTTGGAAATCTAGGGCTCTAGGAAGCGATGGGGAGAATGAAGCCGGCAGCGCTGCTCCAGCAGAGCAAGCGCAAGAAAGGCCCGTCGCGGCTCAGCCTCCCCACCATCATCTCCTGCAACGTCGTCGTCGTCTTGCTCTTCCTCTCAGTCCTGGCGCTTCACAGGCACAGCCAGTGAGTCGGATCGACGAATCCTTTCTTCCTCGGATCTCATGCTTTGATTTATTCGTTCCAGGAGCGGCAGCAGCAGCGGCAATCGGAGTCGCCAGGTGAGGAAATGAATAGATTTTTGAGAGATCTTTGCTGGGTTCTTGATGCAGGGCATTGGTCGGAAAGAAAAATTTGGCATGGATCTTCCCAAGTATGCGGTAACATTTTTATTCTTGTTTTCAAGGAATTCTTCGTTCTTATGCTCTCTTTCTCTTTGTGAATCTAGTTGATGAACACAACCAAAGGTGTCATCGTTTTGGAGCTCTTCCGCGACGAAGTTCCCAAAACCGTGGAGAACTTCGCAGTGCTTGGGTACCATCGTCTCTTCTGGTTTTCTCTTCCCTTGCTCATGCTTTGGCTCCCAGGCAGCAAGGATATTACGACGGTGTCAAGTTCCACCGAGTCATCAAGGATTTCATGATCCAAGGTGGTGATCCCAGCGGAGATGGAAGAGGAGGCGAGTCCATTTGGGGTGGATCCTTCGAAGACGAGTTTAGACCCAAGTAAGCAAGAGCTCTCGTTGTTGAAGTTTGGAGATTCTCATGGTTTTGTGTAGCTTGAAGCACGAACCATTCACGCTGTCCATGGCAAACTCTGGCCCGGACTCCAATCGCTCCCAGTTCTTCATCACAACCGTGGAGACTCCACACCTGGACAACAAGCACACCGTGTTTGGACGCGTTGTGCGTGGCCAAGACGTTGTCAAGGCAAGCTTCTTTCTCTTTGTTTGTTCTTCAGCATCGCTTACTTCTCTCTCTCTCTCTCTCTCTCTCTCTTGGTTGTGTCTTTTAGGAAATAGAAGCCCAAGAAACTAACTCGGAAAATCGACCCTTAGTTCCCGTTACCATTCACAGTGTACGAGTCGGCAACGATCTTGCTTAAATTTTTTTTTCCGCGTGTATTGTGATTGCGATGAATCTTACCAGCCGAGGTGGCAAACGCGTGTACCTTAACCTAACACGTCAGCGTTTTACGTGGAGAAGGGAGAGCGTGACACGTCAGCGTGCGCCCTATCCCACATGCGAAGGCGTAGAATCGTGCCCTAGGTAGAGTATATAATGGGAGCGCCGGACTAATGCAACTCATACCTTTCTCGGCCTTTTGGCTAAGATCAAGTGTAGTATCTGTTCTTATCAGTTTAATAGCTGATATGGGGCCACGTGCCCCAACGCTATTAACCTAGTTTTTTGTGGGAGGAGGGCCACCGGTAGCTTGCTACCCGGCTCTCCACGTGTCGCTTTGGCCTTACACTACCGCCTTAGCCTGGCACAACCCAACCCCCCAAATTTAAAACCAAAAAGGATATTTAGGAAAATCTAGCTAAACTTGTAATTTATAGGATAATATAGTGTTTCTCAGTTTTATATTGTTTTTCAAATTTTACTTGATACTCTTCCAGTTCTAGATATGAGGCAAAATAAAGAACTTCATAGTTTTTTATATGAAAACTTTTAAGTTGCTAGATTAGAGAATATTCTAGAATATACTTAGATATTTAGGTATATTCTTTATACCTATAAAGCGAAATGTAAAGAAAATCCAAATTAAGAACACTAAAGTATTCACACACGATTTAAACATTGTACATTAAAACCGTTTTGATCAGCTAAAAACTAATCGCTCAAGTGACCAGCTTCATTTCAATACCAGAATGTGGATATTCAGTACCGTGGTTCCTCTGCTGCAGACGAAAACACGTGAAAATACTTGTAGGGCAGGGACAATAACCCTTAAGCAAACCTAAAATCACCAACTTATTTAGTAGAATGATGTGTTTTACGTAAATCCGGGTTAGTAGCTAGATGGAAAAAGGCTAGCATGGTTAGGTGCGAATTTTGTAACCTACTGGTTGTCGGTTCGAATCTGGTGATGATGAAATCGGGTGAGAAAAAAAGCATTTTGTTTTGAAATTCTTTCTAGGTCACAGCTATGGCGGCATCGCTGCTCTCTCTCCTTTGCTCTTCTTTCTCCCTCGACACAGCAAGGAATGCGCGCGTTCTTACTGGAATTCCGCCATCGCCGAGCGGCTGCATTCCCTTTTCCAGCGGAAGGAGCACAAATCGTCCGAGCAGGATTTTGGCGACGAGCAGCTGGAATGGCGTGGCCGGAGGCATCGACAGGGAAGCAGCGGCCAGGGATTTGCTGGAATGGATGGCGAGCAAGGGCGTGGCAGAGCCTGGAGGTGTGGAGGTGAGGCGCGGGGAGCTGGGGCTGGGGCTGTTTGCCAAGCGCAGCGTGTCCAAGAACCAGGAGGTGGTGTCCATTCCCAAGACGCTGTGGATGGATGCGGACACTGTGAGAAGGTCTGAGATCGGTGAGTGCTGCGAGGGATTGAGGCCGTGGATCGCAGTGGCGTTGTATTTGCTACACGAGAAGGCCAAGCCTCACTCGGATTGGAGTGCTTACATTCGTGTTCTTCCACGCACGCTAGATTCTCCACTCTTCTGGTAAGCTCTTTTTTTCATTCGAAAGAAAAAATCGTGAAGATCAAACTTAGCAACCATTTCCAGGTCGGAAGAAGAACTTGCCGAGCTCAAAGGTGTGATGTGGTCGTCGCCAATGCCATCCTTATTGTGTTGGTACTAACGTTTTCTTCTCCCGTTCTTTTCCAGGTACTCAGCTCCTCAGTTCCATGAATGGTTTCAAGGAATTTCTCAAGCGTGAATATGACAAGGTGATGACGGAGGTGATTGAGCCAAGGCCAGATGTTTTCGATCGTAGCCTCTACACTCTTGAGGCGTTTACCTGGGCTTTCGGGATACTGCGTTCTCGGACATTTCCACCACTTATCGGAGATAACCTCGCGTTGGTACCACTGGCGGACTTTGTAAGTTGCTGCATTGCTTTTTTTTTTCTTGCTCGAAACTGCTTAGTGTTTAATTGACCCCGATATATAGCCGCTTCGCACAGGTAAATCATGGCTTCGGGCTGACCAATGAAGATCCTGGCTGGAAAGTCAAGTCTGCCGGAGTATTCGCTCGCCAAGAAACTTTGACGTTGCAAGCTGCAGCGAATTGTGCTGAGAAGCAAGAGGTGAAATCTCGAGTCTGTTTTCCTGTTTGAAATCTCACCTTTTCCTTGTTTTCCTTCGTAGGTTCTCATACAATATGGGAAAAAGAAAGGGAATGCACAGCTTGCCACGGACTACGGGTTTGTGGATAGCGATGAGAAAAACAACCGGGATAGTTTCACATTGACTTTGCAAGTATCTCTTTCTGAGCGTTTTGCCGATGACAAAGTGGACATCGCACAGATGGCAGGACTGGATAGCACTGCTTATTTCAACCTTTACAGAAATCAAGGCCCTCCGGAAGACATGATTGCGTACCTCAGGCTCATTGCATTGTTCGGATCCGATTCATTCTTGCTAGAGGTATGTTGCGAAACTCTCTAGTAGTCATTGTAAGTGAATTCCCTCCGCGTTTGCAGGCACTATTCCGAAACACTGTCTGGGATCACTTGAGACTTCCTATCAGCCGGGAGAATGAGGAGGCTATTTGTGAAGCTATGATCGAGGGCTGTCGAGCCACGCTAAGAGAGTACAGCTCTACTATTGACGAGGTACATATTGTACTTAATTCATTGTCGGTTGATTGCTGTTTTTGCCAGGATACCATGCTTTTGAACTCTAGTGAACTTAGCACACGAAAGAAAATGGCTGTGGTTGTGAGACTTGGCGAGAAGAGAATCTTGCAAGAGCAGCTACAGTGGTTCGAGACGCATCTCGCAGATCTGGACAGGCTTGAGTTCTATGCGGAGAGAAGACTACGGGACTTGGGATTGCTGGATGACAAAGGCAACATGACGCCATGGGTGTGCTTCTGTCTTTTCCTTCGATTTCAGGGGCATCTCTAACATTCTCATCTCTACAGGTTTTCAAATCTTAGAAACTATCCCATCCAATTGTGGTTCGATCCAGCGTCGGTAATCGGCTATCGGCTTGATGTATACTACAGTGATAGAGGTTAGACAAGACATTTGAGTGAAGGAGTGAAGGATATCATCTAGATATGAAAAAAGTTAATATAATTCGTGTTCTCACTATATAATGAGGCACTTTGATAGCTAGATAATCTTTGTTTCTGCCTTGCTAATATGGTATTAGAGAATAAATCTGGTACGGCATTAATAAATTGATTTATGCATTCTTATTTGATATTATAGTTTTTGAGGATTTTTATTCATAACTAATATGCATTTATGTAGAGACTATGATATGAATACAAGCAATGAGATCACATTTTATTATAAATCATCACTTGGATAAGAGAAAGTGTTTAATCTTTTTATCCTTAATAACTTTCTTTTCAAACTCAAACTTTAAGCTTGTGTTTGCATTAATTTCAGTCCAATCTAAGAACAGCTTATGAAATAGTATGGCAATGACTACTTAATAGATTAATATTTATACTCTTAATTGATCCACTTGTAATTATGCCTAAGAAGTATCTGTTAGTGTCATGCTGGACCGACCTATTAACCACTAATTGCAAACTCAAAAAGGTTTACTTTTTACCTAGAGTAACATGCAATAACTTATGGTAACATAACCACCAATAAGCTAATAGTAATCCTACCCACTCAAAACATAACTTTAAATTGCTAATATGCCTCACTCATGAGCCTAAACATAACTTGTACAAATAGTACATTTGAAATCCATCATATTGAGCCTAAATAAAAGCTCATATACAATATAGTATAAAATAGTAATAGAAATTGACACCTAAGGGATGTATGCAAAGCCATAGCAACTAAACATGAACCCACTCGAATCATTATTTTCATCTTTACATATGTAATGAGATTAATTGCCCAATTTTATTGGATAATACCCATTGAGACTCAATTTTTAATACTAAATATAGCATATGTTGTTTTCACCCTTTACCTCATAATGAGTACTATAGAATGACCACAGGGTAAAACCAAACTCTTAAACATATGTGCCAAAGGCAACAGAGTGGGATTTAAATATTAAGGCTTTGGGACACTGAATGAAGAAATTAGAGCATAAAATAACTTTTGAGTGTAGAGATAAAAAATAAAAAAGCAAGAGCATAAAACAATAAAGAAAGTTTTAGAGTATCCAACATCTAACACTAAGATTAACATGTAATATAGACTCAAATGAAATCTAGCATTATACCAATAGCTTAATGTAAGTCACCTATAAGCACATTCACAATAAGCACCCCCACACCAAAATTAATATATAAAACACCAAGATTAACATATAAAATGAATTTAGTGCTATTAAAGTATACTTATAGCTTAACATGAGGTATTCCACCAACTATAGAGTTTAGTATAGAACCAAGATAATGTCTCAAGTTGGATCTACCCACTATCCCTATTATATATTTGGCTCATTCTAGGTTTTCACCCTATTCCCAAGAGTGAGATCTTAAGAATTCAAGAGGCTGACCAGAAAATTATTAACAATTAGGCTTGTAAGAGTATATTATTAGATTAATCAATTTCATATATTATTAACCAAATATAAGATTAGATAACAAAAGGATGATTTGCAACCTAAAAAGCCACAAAGATCACAACACCCCTCTACAAAATGGTTGGCGAGTATCTATCTAAATATTATGAAAAATAATTAAAATATTATATTATATCAGAAGTTGAAATATCTCTCTTGACTGCTAGAAAAAAATCTCCTTAACTCATTAAATATCAGAATTCTAGAAATTTTTTCCATTGGTTTCTAAATAAAAGTAATTAATAATTAAATTCAAGAAGAAAACCAAACATTGCTACAAATAGATGTTTGGATATTGGCATATTACATCATCTTACAGTTAATATTTTATACTAGTAAGGAATCTAGGTTTAGATAAAAATCAGTCTTTGAAACTTTTTTAGTGTGATAGAAAAATTATTGATAAAGTAGTGGGAGAATTCAATATAAAGAAACTATAATAACAAAAAAGTTACTAGGATTACAATTTTCAGATTTAGGTAAAAGAACTCTCCCTCCCTCCTCCCTCTCTCTCTCTCTCTCTAAAAATTTCATTTATACATCCATCTTATATAAATTTTGATCATATTATGTACATGTACACATGTAATATACATTAAAATATACTTAGATCATATTATACATGTCTAATACACACAAAACACACTCTTGTATAGATAAACTGTAATCATATCATATTGTATAACTTAGGTATATACAGGTATGCATATACTTAAATTATATAAAGTGAAAGTAATAGATTTATTAGATAGGCTTTCAAAAACAATAATGAAATTAAAATTTATTCCTTATATTTTAAATATTGCACAACATCAACAAACCATACATTTTCTTCTATCATCATTTGCATATTTTTGTCAATTATCCCAACAAGACCTGTCATCTTTAACTTCTCATCCACACACTTTACTTTCTGGACTTTTGGAGCATTCCCACACATAAAAGTATAAACACGATTCTTCCAAAAAGCACTAATATCTGTAATAAGGTAGATAATCCATTTTAAAAGCTCTCCTTTATGCAAAAGTTCTTTAAACTTTATGACAGCTATTTCCTCAATTTCTGATTTTTCTTTATGACCTTTTTTGTGCAAGAATAGATCTTCAATGTCTAGCATATCCAAAGCACATATCCAAAGTCTGTGCTTGAGATAACTTTGTGTTAATAAAGTGAGAATACAGGAATTTGTTACTTTCTTACCTTACTAATATAAGTTACAATTATATCAGATCCAAACCTAATGATATTTCCATTATGGAGAAAAGACCGAAAGGATTTTTGCAACAAAACAACAAATAAATTCATCATTATACAATAAAAAATGCAAAGAGGATACCTATTGTTTTCCTTGTAAAACCTTAGGTCATCCCATTGTCCTCTTTAGGCATTTGCTGTACCATCTCACAGTCGTTTGGCCTTGGCATTTGTTGTACCATCTCACAGTCGTTTGGCCTTGGCACTTGTAGAGGATGCTTGTAGACCACATCCACTTTTTCCTTGTAGACCTTTGGGATAAAATCCACTTGTGCTTTATTGTCCAAAAACTCCAAAAGCAAGGGAGCAGAATATGCTTCAAACTTCACCCCTAGGTCTGATTTGCTGCAAACACCCATATCCTTGATCAGCTTCTGTATGTCTCCACTGGCTGTGAGATAGTTCCACAAAGCCCTCACCACGAGTGGTTCTCCAATCTCAACAGTTTGAAGGGAAACCTGTGTTGCATCCTGAGGAGGAGCCGAGCAGAAATCTGCATCCGGTTTGAAATGCAAAGTCTTGTAGCTGCTCGCCACAGTCCCTCTCGGCCTGCCGATCCCTGCTTGTACAAATTTCAAATCACTGTCCGTGACTGCCAGGTTTACAGGAACTCCCATGTACACCCGCAGCAGCAATAAAGTTATGACCACCTCCCAACACCCGGGATGGAATGATGGTAGTGCAAAGAACCTCACAACATCGTCCCACACAGATCTGTTGATGGAGAGGGCAGGGCCTGGTCGCCTACACAAATCATCTGCCTTCTTCAGGAAATAGTCTGTAGCGACCAATGGTTGCTCCTCTGAATCCCGTAAGAACATCTCTAACACTGTCACGTAAAACTTGTATCTGCCTCTGTAAACACCAAAGATCGTGCTGAAGTCGAAATCGTCCACGTCTGTCACAAACTTCATTGTGTACTCCTTGATAGATTCAGCGCTAGAAAAGCCCCCAAAGTCTGAGTACACATAATAGCTGAGTATGTCTTTCACGGAGCCTGAATGGGAGTCTAGCATCCGTATCAAATGCCGGCCTGTCCCAGATATTATGGTCTTTTCGAACTTCATCTCACGCAGAGCTAAGACGAGCTTGTCTAGCATCGACCGGTTCACCTCATTTACAGTCTTGCTTGTAAACCTGTTCTCCAGTAAACGTGATAGTTCTTGGCATTCGTCTATTATCACAACGCCGTCCCAGCCTACCTGTAGTTTCAGCTCATCGAGCATGTCAGAAAAGATGGTGCTTGCAGCTTCAATGTCGGATGAATTGCCGATCAGACCGAGAATCCTCTTCGTGAGCTCCCACCATGGATCATAATTCAAGTATGAAAAGTATATCTGCACAACACAAACATTTTAGCTCCCTCACAAACCAAACACGAATCTTACTTGTTTAAAAAGCCAGACGAGCGGGGTAACTTTGACGCCTGCAGAGCGAGCTTCTCTCAAAATGTAAAACCTGGATATGAAAACTGCTGCCAGGCACACCATTAAGGCATCTACTGGAATGACTCCCTCGGGATACAAGCGTCCCAATTCTGTTGCAACGTGATTAAGATCTCGAGAACCTTCATCCCCTGCTCCACTACCCGTAACACCCGTCAAGTAAATGGAGTCCCTCTGACAAGATATTTCGTAGAGCGTCCTTGTTTTGCCACTGCCAGAAGCATCAACCAAGAAGCAGAGGTTTGTATCCCGCAGCTTCCGAAGCACCTCTGACGCAGACCCGATATAATCTCCATCCTTCAACCCCTCTAGTAACAGAACCGGCCTGCCTTCCAACGTACATAACTCCTTGCTGCTACGAGAATAAGAGCGCTTAAAATATTGCTCTGGAGGCATGGAAGGAAGACATTCCTTCACCCGTTCCCAAATTTCAGCACAGACGGCATCAACGTTCGTCCGGGTTAGCGCCCCTGGAACAGCGATGGCCACAGAATTAAACACAGCCAAAGGTCGAACAGGGAGTGAGAATGACACACAGAGAGATTACCAGATATCCAACACAAAAAAGAGAGATGGCTCAGGAAGCAAAAATCCTTAACCATGACCAGACATGGAAACCAGAGCAGGATCCTGACAAGAAGTAAGAGGACAGTGGAGCAGGAAAACTTGAAACGCAAAACCCAGCTCTAAGCCGACGAAGACAGAGACAGCATTAATAAAACGCAAGGGAAGCAGATGGCTGTGAATTCAATTACAACCACGAGCCAGACACAAGCACCCAAGAACAGCGAAGCAAGACTTTGAAACCCTATAGACATCCGCCGTTTTCATGGTGCACTAGGAATACCAAGAACTGACAAAAAAAATGGGACTTCCGACATGGATGCATGTGCAAGGAAACAAAGGGCTTTCGCAATTGCTTACCAGATCCACGCACTGCAACATTCAGAACAAAACAAAGTTGGTATTAGATCTGGAAGAAAAAACTATAACTAGAAAACACAAAGAATGCTTACCATTACGTTGGAGGAGGACGAGTTTTTCCTCCCGCAGCTGTTCTTCCTTCATCCGCAGCTGCTCTTTCTCATTCCGCCAATATTCCGCCAGAGATTGATTGCCACTCTGAAAGGCAGAGAGAAAAGATTCCCCAGCCGCTTGGATCTGCGGCTCAAGACGCGCGATTTGAGCCTGCACCTTGGCCAATTCCATTTTGCTAGCTGTAACCCTATCTTGAAACCTTTTGTATATAATCACTAGAAATACACAGAAGAAGAGCGAAGATGCTGAGATCACAAGGCAAACGACAGCAAAGGACGGATACCTCACCCCACATATGTGAAACAGGCTCTTCAAAGACATGCAAGGTTTCTCTCCCCAATAGTGAACGTGAAGTTGGCAGGGAAACGAGCAGGGCCAGAATACTGGGACTCCTCCCACCTATTCCGGTGCCCCGGATTTTTCTTCAAGGAGTCCCTTGCACTGGCAATCTCCAACCGTGCTTGGTTCCCAGCCAGCCATGACTGGCAGAGGTGGCCAGTACCAGTCTCGAGGAAACGGTCCATGGTCCAAACGGACCATGGACCACCCCCATGGTCCCAACCGAGCCGGCCAAGCGGCCGAGGGCGACGACCCCCCCAGCACCGCCAGCCCCTGACAGCAACTCAGAATCAAAGACCACCTTCACCTCCCAGAGGACAAGAGATGCAGCCCTCACAGCACCGCAACAACACCCACTCCACCAAAGAACCCAACGCTACAGCTTGGGAAGAAAGTCGCCCCCAATGCCTGTGGACAGAAAAGTACCTTTGATTGCGGCTTCACTTCTTCATGAAGTATAAATCTTGCTTGTGGCTCGACAAGAATATAACCAAGTACCTTGCCCTCACCTCCATGTAAGGTTCTAAAATAGATACACGGGAGACTAATTGCTAGCTATGTTGGCTTCATTTCTTCATCAACAGCAGCTCCCAAAAGATTTAATCCTCTTCACTTTTGGTGGAGTCGCTCTACCCAAGCATTCCCACACGTTTGTCTCTACAAGTTTGTATATAGGAATTTTGGAGATTCAATGCAAACATACTTTATCATGGTCAACACAATTATATTAAGTTCAATGGGAGTTGTTTTCTTCAAATCCAAGGCACTGCTATGGGGTCTAACTTTTCTGTGGTGTATGCTCGCCTTTTTTTATGTTCCCTCAAGGACAAGTTTAAAGCCACCTCTTCTAAATGGCTAATATATCTTAACAGATATATTGACGATCGCATGGGAATTTAGGATGGATCAAAAGAGAGCTTGGAATGCTGGTTGGCTGGCTATAAAAGCCTCTACAACTCTGTAAAGAGACATTCTCCACCGCTGCTGTGGAGTAACCAATGGTAATTTTGTTACATTCGCATCCTTGCAAGCCAATGCTGCCATGCCACACAAACTCACATAAGTAAGAGAGCATATAAGTAGTCATCCCTCATTCATTTGTTTCCTCTACTTGCTCTCTATTACAACATGACAACAGCACATAAAGGATGTGGATTGCATAGTGGTGTTTTGATCTTGCATGATCACAGCACCGTGTGAGCACTCGAGGATACAAGAGTCCGAGTGCAACTCAAACTTGTGATTCTGGCATTGCGCCTGTCTTTCAAAGATGGCACCATCTTCCATACAGCTAGCTCTGGATTTTTTGGTCTCTGAAACTTGAGAAATTTGAGTGGAGGAGAGCAAAAAAGAAATCCATTTGCTCACCACAAAGATTGGAGTCTCTACAAGACAACGTTTGTGTGTGACAGGAGTGAATTTGATGAAATCACCTGTTTAGGGTTTAGGGTATCCCCCACACCAAGTGCTGCGCGGGAGCACTATTGCTACTAGATTTGTGCGATGGAGCATAGAGCACACTATCTTGGTCCATATAATGGATTGTCTGGAAAGCTTCAGAAAGGAAGGCTCCTGGGTATCCATGTGCACAACGCTATGAGTTATTCTCTCATAGGGGAGGTAATGCCAAAGTTCAGCATGAACAAAAGTGTCGAGGATGTGTGGAGCTCCATGGAAGATATTGGTTTGTGTTTAGTGGCTTTTGAAAGGTGGTGGAGTCTAGGCACCTGCATTTTTCAAAGCGTGGGCCTTTGAAAAAGTGGATGTCTCAAATATCTATAGATTCGAATGAGATCACTGAGGTCCAAGTGTTCTACCTTTGATACAAAATAACTTGTGGACTCAACATGACATCACATATGTATTACGAGGGGAACTTAACCTCAACCAAGAATGAAATGATGTTCAGACATGATCACTTAAGAGTGCGTCTGCATCCATCATCTATTTAGGGTTTAAGATGTGCACAGTTAAAGGCAAAAAGGGCCATTGATATGCTTTGTGTCACTGGTCAAGGAGAAGGAGTGTTAGAGGCCCGAGATCAAGTGTTGCCTTGGTATTTTTGCTAAATCTATGGTAGTAGACACATCCCTTTTGGATCCTTGGTAGTCCTTTTATGGCTATGGCTGTTGAGAATTGTTAGTAGTTTTTTCCAAAAGCCCTTCAATGCCTACTAATACCTACCTTGGACGTCAGTTCACCCTCAACACCAGAAAGTGGCATTCATTTGCAGTGAGCTCTGGAGATACCTCCTCCACAAGAGCACAACCAAGAAATGACATGCCAAGACTCAAACACTCTCAGCCGTTGCACACCACCACCTCCAAGTCCAAGAGTTGAGATTCTTCTACATGCAGTACAAGCCCTAGAGCCAAGATGGTAGTCGTACGGAGTTTCTGCCGATAATGCCTTTGCGAAGCGAATCCTGGTGAGCAATGCAAACCGGAGCTCTCCAGGAACCTTAAAGTCACAGACCAGCCTGTTGAAGACATCCGTAAGATATCTCTCACACGTAGCTCATCGTCTTGGAAGAATACCAATCCTCGGTTTTAGCCGCAGCAAGAACTTCCAAGGCTTACAACACGATCCCCGCGTCAGTGGAAACCAAAAAACTAGCCAGAGACTGGAAAAAAGGAGAAGATTTTCGTGCGGAGAAGAAAGGAAAACTCATCGTCGGAATCGAGTTTATAGCGTCACCAGCGTTGCCTTGGACTCTGTCGTAAAGTCCTCTATCATGGCGTCCTCCTCGATTTTCCGTATTGCAGCGTTCCTCCTTCTGATCGTCCTCTCCAGTTCTTGTGCTCGAGCGCAAGATGGATCGAGCTCTCCATTGAGCTGGGCTTGACTGGACGCTCTCAGGGATCAACGCCACGAGAAGCTCTTCGAGCGCGGGTGGGTCTCATGCCTGGATTGAATGAGATATCTCGAATCAGTGCTGGAAATAGGGAAAACTCTATAGATTGACTCACCTCCCTGATGCTGGAGCTCCACCTTGTCAAGAGATGGATCCATTTGCGCCTGCCCGCGAATGGGAATGTAAGTGATGACCTTGCTGTGATAAGGGAAATTCTCGCCTTGCGAAAGAACGAAGAACAAGGTAATCTTTCGGTGGAACGTCCATCTCCCGGAAGAGAGCTCCACCGCCCTCACGCAATGCCCGTTCTGGGCAATTCCTGCGATCATGAGTGTCCACGAGAAAACGTTCTTGTTCTTGATTTGCCACGTAGCGGTTCCGCTCCTCGTGACTCTCGAGCAACAGTACCAGATTTTCTTCCCCGACCCCGATCGATCGATCGATAGATCTAGCGAGCTCATCGGAGGTACGCGTTGCGATCGCCGCGACTTGGCCCACGGGCGGCTTGCGTTGCAGCTAACGACCGATTGTTGGAACATCTTGGAAGATTAACTTCTTGTTCGGCCCTACCTAGCTATCGATCTTTTCTTCTGGGTCTTCTTTGCTTTCTTCTTGGAAGCTAAAGGATAGGAATGAAACAAACACTTGATGGGCGAGGTGGAGTACTATGCGTCGCGGCTGCGAGAGATCCAGGAGCTCGACCACGGCAAAGCGATTCATGCACAGATCTCGGCCAGGTACCGCAAGGTCTCTACATTTCTGGAAAATCTTCTTGTGAAAATGTATGGCCAATGCGGCAGCATCGAAGACGCGAAGGCTGTCTTTGATGGAATTCGACCCAAGAATGTGTACTCCTGGAATATCATGATTGCGGCATATGCCGTGAACGGGCATTTGATTGAGGCAATTGGTTTGTTCCAGGAGATGGCGGTCAAGCCGAGCAGGGTCACGTTTCTTAGCGTTCTAGCGGCTTGTGCGCAATTGCGGTGCCTAGAGATTGGCCAGGAGATTCACGCGAGAGCTCTTTGCAGCGGGTTTGGATCTGACACCACAGTTGCGAACTCGCTCATCAATCTCTACAGCAAGTGCCAGAGATTGGAGAGCGCGAGGTACGTTTTCTCCGTCATGCCTGACAGGAATGTGATCTCCTGGACGTCGATGATTGATGCGTGCGTGCAGTGTGGCGACCACCGTGAGGCTCGTGCTCTGTTCCTACGTATGGATCTCGAAGGAGTGAAGCCCAACGAGATGACTTTTTCCAACCTCTTGAGCGCGTGCTCGTTGCTCGTCCAAGGTCGGTCGATCCATGCTCGTCTCGTTGCTTGTGGATACGCAACTGATGTTGGTGTTTGTAATTCTCTTGTGAGCATGTATAGCAGGTGTGGGAGCCTTGAAGAAGCGACTAATGTTTTCGAAAACATGCCGGCAAGAGATCGTGTTTCTTGGACTGCAGTGATCACTGCATATGCCCGGGTTGGGCATCGTCACCACTCAAAGTCAGCGCTTGAATGCTTTCGAAAAATGGTCGAGCAGGGAGTGGCACCCGATGAGATCACGTACATCAGCGTCCTGGGCGCATGCTCCTGCGCGGGATGTCTCGCAACTGGCCGGATGATTCACGAAGACATCATCTCCCAAGGGTTGGACGCACTTCTTCCCGTGAGAAACTCTCTGGTGAGCATGTATGGCAAATGCGGGAGGCTGGACGAGGCCAGGGACGTGTTTAATTTCACAAAGGGGAAGAGTATCGTGTCCTGGACTGCTATGATTTCTGCATATGCCCAACACGGGCATAGCGAAGAGGCACAGTCGGTTTTTCAGAGAATGGAACTGGAGGGAATCCAACCAAGTGAAGTCAGCTTCACCAGCATTCTCTACGCTTGCAGCCACGCAGGGTCGCTTTCTCAGGGGCATCGATTTTTTCTGGCTATGGTGGGTGACGAACGGGATATCTCACCGCTTGTTGAGCACTACCACTGTTTGATCGATCTTCTCAGTCGCTCGGGACAGCTCGAAGCAGCCGAAGAACTCATACGAACTATGCCTTTCGAGGCCGATATTGTTCCGTGGATAGCTCTGCTCGGCACGTGCAAAGCTATCCTCAGATTGGAAGTGGGAATGCGAGTAGTGGAAGAGATTCTTCTCAAACTTACGGGGTCCAAGTCCCCGGGGCCTTACATCTTGGTCTCCAACTTTTGTGCTGCCGCCGGGAGATGGGATTATGTTGTGAAAGTTAGAAAGCTCATGAGCGAGACAGGGGTTACACAGAGACCGGGTTGCAGCTTTGTCGAAGTTGGGAACGAGATCCACGAGTTTGTAGCTGGCGACTCCTCTCACGAATGCTACCATGAGATCCACGAGGAGCTCAAAAGTTTGCACTCACGGATGAAACAAGCAGGCTATGTACCAGATACAAGCCAGGTGCTATGGGGTGGAAATCAAGAGGAAAAGGAAAAGAGTCTGTGCTTTCACAGTGAGCGGCTAGCGATATCTTTTGCTCTTGTCGCTAGTCCTCCAGGAACTCCGGTGTGGGTGACCAAGAACTTAAGAGTTTGCACGGACTGTCACACTGCTACAAAGTTCATAGCTAAACTTGCTAGAAGAGAGATTGTGGTTCGGGATTCCAGCAGGTTCCATCGCTTTAGTAGTGACAATGGAGGCTGCTCATGCGGAGACTACTGGTGATCAATTAGTGACTGGGAGACAAAACCAAAAGAAAAAGAGAAAAGTTTTTCATTGATGCGTGAAGATTATGATCTGTGGAAAGGATTAGGACATGCCGTGGCAGTGGAGACTTGGAGAAATAGTTCACGAACTAAAACTAAAACAATGGCAATGTTCATATCACAGCACCATGGAGGTGAAGGGAGAAAAAAAGAAGAAGAAAGACGAGCTCTGTTCTTGTCGACAAGACTCCAACAAGGAACTAAATCCCAGGAAGCAGTAGTTATGCAACTGAGTTGGATATATGTCTTCATGCTTGGGACAACTTCTATTGTACTTGCGGCTATGGTTTAAACAAGATAATTACTATCTCAGTATAAAACCATACTTTTGAAGGAGCGCTCAACGCTTAGCTTTTCTACAAGCTATAGAATACCATGTACAAAGTATTAGCTTTTTTGAGTTTTTGGTTGTTTGAATTGCTATATTCATTTTTTTATGCTGTTAGAGAATGGCTCATTAATTCTAAATTAAATGGCCACACTTAGTTCCATTTCAAGGTTTCAATGCACAAATCCTTTCTCACGAAGAAGATCACCACAATGTGCAGTGTTGTCCAGTTTATAGGGGCCTACTTGAACCAATAGCATTAAATTCCTGAGACACATCAGAAAAATGTCCATTAATATTTTTATTTCACTATTTTCTTCTCTGGTCCTTTGACGAATTGTCTCGTCAATTTAAGTCTTATTTCTAAGTTGAAACAACTCCAAATCCACCAACTACTCTACTGTCTTGTTTAGAACTTCACACACCCCAAGATCCGGTTTTGGTATCTCCAAATAAAGTTTGTCAGAAAATTGAATGGTCTAATTTCAATAATAAAGTTGACTTTTCTGGCTGTGACAACCACAGCCAGCCAGCAAGCCACAGCCTGAAGGCATTGGCTGTGGCCGTGGCCTTGCCCAATGGCCACGGCCTCAATTGCCAATGACACTGCTCTGACCTGGCTTGCTATACAGCAATGGTTGCTGCCATGCTCACTATGGCACTGCACGACTGTATTGGGGACGTCTAGGGTTTTGCTGCCTTGGTGGTGTGCTTGATCATGTTGGGGCATGCTCTAGTGATTACGTTGGGTGAAAGTGATTACTCAACATCTGGGTTGTGTTTCATTTCTCTCTCTCAATGCAGAAGAATCAGTTTTGAAAGAGTGATCTCGACAAGCATGAAGTCCGATCAACTATAAGTAGAGCAAGCGGGCAATAAAGTCTTCTCCAATCCAAGAGCTTGGAACAACACGTTTTTCTTTGCCATGCTTTGTTTCTTTTGCCTAGCATTGGATAAGATTAAAAAATTGTGTGGGAATATAAAATTGTCAAAGTATACTCTAGAAGTGAACAGCTTTGGAACCGGTGTGGGTTATGCTGATGATGATGATGGTGATGGGAGAAAATGGACTTAAAGATTTTATCATAGCACTTTAAGTTATTATCTCAAGATATTAGATGGTTTTTGATCATGGGATAGGATTTAAATATATTGTCACCATGCATTTTTGGAACATTTAAGGATAAAATCTCTCATCCAAAGTAGTTACCCTTTTCTAAGTTGTTTATTAGTCTTCATATAACATAATCTAAGGGATATAAAATATTGGCATACCAAATAGTACAAAATTTCTGTTGTAGGAGACTAAGGACTCCCCACTAGTGCAAGGATTGTATAAGGACTTTAAGTCAAAATTATATATAAATTTAATAGTTGGTGGCAATCTAATATACTCATAGCTACATAAGCATCATATAATTTGTTAAGTAGATTGTTCTTGAACTATACAAATACCTTTGACAGAGTTGTACAATCTACTAATGACTATCATTATTGAAGAAGCTTCTTTGAAGAAGCTACTTGTTCTATAGCTTCTTAAAAAGAAGCTATTTGTTCCATACTGAAAACCAAGATAAACAAATAGCCAAATGCATACTTGAATTCCTATAAAGGAAACCAGACCTTTTATGCATTGAAAACAATCCTCACTAACAATCTTCCAAATCGGTTTATATTTTTCCACATGTCTACATGAAAAATATGCTTTTCGTATATCCACTTGAATATATTTCCTATATGCTGCACTTTTTGTACAGGTGGAGTGACAAATATATATACTCTTAACTAGCTCGTATACAACATCTAATGCTCTCTCTAGCATCTAAGGCAAACTAAACCTTACGCACTCGTTAATTCTGATTTGAATTACTTACTGTTTTTAATAGATTATAGTTTACTAGAAATTAAATTTAAATTTTAAAAAATGCTAATGGCTGGATCCAAAGGTACTCACTAGATTCAGTCAGGTAAAGATGACTCCGGCACTCAAGTTCCCGGTGCCAAGCTGCTCATGGATGTTCTCAGACTATATATTGCTATTGCTTTTTGCTTTTTAAAACTTCATGTAACAATTCTTTCATTTTGCATAAAAAATCTCCATGTGACCTATTCTGATGTACCCAATGCATGAATAAATACTCAAAATTCAAACAGTCGGAACAAGGATCGGACTAGCCAACCTTCCCAGCATCATGATGGTAGCTTGCGGGTTAGTCCCTGGTGTAGACTTGAACACAGCCGCCGTGGGTATGCCAGTCCCACCGCGGATCCACGGGACTCGGGGCTGTAAGTCGAGTCTCGGAACGCTGGAGCTCGTGTTGCGTTCGAAATGCAGGCGCTCGTCTCGCTGATGAAAAGCCCTGGCCAGGTGATCGATCTGCAAACCCTCCAGAAATCTGCGGATCGATTCAAGGATCACTACTCGTGGCTTGTGCAGAAGATCGCAGGTGTTTCCAGGGGCGAGCTCAAGCTCGTCTCGAGGAGCATCGTAGATTCAACCATTATCAGGCCCCGGAAGATCTGGTCAGAGGCGTGGATGCCAACGACCTCGAGTAGGGCGCTCCCTGGCGTTGAACGTTGACTATAGCATTGCTGGGGCATATCCCCCATTGTCTTGCCCATACTGGGCAAATGCTGCACGACGGAATCCCAAGCTTTTGCAGATCCCGGGCATCTCCAATTCCGCTCAGGAGCAGCAACTGCGGCTGCCAAGAGCACCCGCGGAGAGGATGATCTCGCTACTGGGTTTGGAGCTCAGAATCGCTCTGTGTTCATTGCCAAATTCATCCATAAACTGGACTCCAGAAGCTCGTGGAGCTCCGCTGCCTACGAGACAAACTTATGACACCCAAACAGCAGAAAAATCGAAGAACAGTGCGGGAAGAAGAAGTGTACCTGAAGACCAGAGATGTCGTCGCGTACAGCAACACTTCGAGCTTGCTGGGATGTGCATACTCGAGGAGATCCGCCGAGGAGTGCCGGACGCCATCGCTGTCGAAGATCACGCCGCCAACCTTGGTGCCCAGCTTGTGCTCGAACTTGAACCCGTTGTCGGGCAGCCCGGTCTCCACCAGCGCCCGCTTCAGAGACCGCTGCCAAGCCGGGATGGCGGGCTTGAAAGCTTCGGGCGAATCCCCCGCAGCCCCCACATCCTCCTTTACCACAGTTGACTAAGCTTGACTATTTTGGCGTGTTGTTGACCTTCGTTGACTGGTGTTCCCCGCCGAGGACTCGCCCCTGTGACCCGGGACACCATCCTCCGACAGGAATGCTTCATCCGGTGAGGTTTTGTTGTCTGCTTTAAAGAGGTTCACGTGCCATCCTTCCTGCCGCTCCAGAAGCAGCACCGCAAACTTCACTGAGAGCGTGGCTGCAATTGGGCAGCTAGAAGCACCCCCGCCAACAACAATGTAGTCGAACTGGGCTGCGGGATCGAATGTGGATGCATTCCTACTTGTTCCTCGAACCTAGTAAGACACACAGAACAATTATCAGTCCAGACTTTGTACAGACTCCAGAAACAACGTCCAACCTCGAACTGAATTTACGAGCAAAGCAAACATGAACAAGAACACGAGACGACCCAGTACTAAACCCATTCCTGTTGCACGACTTATAGCCAGAGATAGCTTGCAATGTCGCCTGCCTTTGCATTAATTAATGCCGGATACGTGGATGACGCTGCATGCCTGATGGAGAATGGTAACTGATATTGGACAGCGGTTATCCAGCGCTTTCATCAGAACTTTCGGATTTCAACATGTCTGAGTCCCACTAGAGTCTGAAGTCTGAGTGAGTCCCACTAAAGTTTCTAGTATATGGTAGAAAAATCTAACAAATAAAAAATCTCAAAATTCGAATCTGCTCTGAAAAGGATACAAGAATTGGTACTCTTTCAGCATTTATCACAATAGCCATGCAAAATTTGCCATCACTTTCTTCCAGGAGATGAAGTTGGAAGGAGCAAAACCCTGGAGATGATGCCTCTTTTGTGATCGTTCTCTCCCAGATTGGCGTGCTCGAGAGCAATCGGAGTTTCTTTACCAGGATTTTGGAGTGGAGCACTAGGTACTGCTGCATGTTGCTTGCCAAGAAGAGCATGCCATTCGTCTGGATAAGGTGGACGTTGCACTTGCCAGAAGCACCAAAACACAGAAAAACATTACGGATGTACAAATGAATTTTTTTAAATGATAAGCTAAATTGGGTTAGAGGAGCTGGGAAAGTACGATTTGGCGCATGCGGATCGAGGGATGACAGCCGACGCCGCATACCCGGGGGGGAGGAGCTGCTTTGGGTGCTCACAGTGCGCTTCCATCGCGGCATTCATTGAAGATGCTTGCTGGAGAGAGGGGCAAGCGCAAGAGCAAGGCCAAGAACTTCCATCTGGTTGGCAGCGGTGGTACGATTCTCCACTACGGGAAATCCAAGCACCACGACTTCGCAAAGCAGGGAATCTACGTGTATATGGAGGCCTGGACGCTGTGGGATTGTGAGGACTAACCCAAGGCAGCTGGCTTAACCATCACGGACATGCCAGCTCGGTAGTACTACTACTGCGGCCAGAGACATCTTTTACTCGGATACTCGGACACGGTCGACGCAGGAAAGAGGAGCTTAGCTCTCCCTGCAAGTGAAGAACGAGCTGGATACCTGCAGAACATGTTGTACAGTTGGCTGGAACTAAAAGACGAGAAAGCAAAGAACCCACCTATAGTCAAAGAACATATTCGCAAAGGCATAGTCGATGAGGTCCCTGAGCTTACTTGCATCGATTATGTTGAGTTAAAGGCGGATGAACTATTCAAGCTCAACACTGAAGAGAAACGTGACAAGGCTGCGTGAGCCTGGAGCCTTGTCGAGTTGCTCGAGTGTAGCTATTCTTTCTCCAGGCTCCTGTCGAGTTGCTGCATAAGCTCCTCTATCCATCCCACTCCAGGCTGTCTGTCCATGTCGAAACAAGTGTCCCGCTATGAGCAAACATACTAAACTCCAGGCTCTGACAAGGCTGCGTGAAGTGGGATGGATAGAGGAGCTTATGCAGCAACTCGACAGGTGCAAGCCATACGCTGAGCTCCACTATGACCTGTTGTTCGTGGTTCCTGAAAACATCTACGGTTCTTTCTCCGAACATTTCTGGTGAAGAACGGGTATGAGAAATCCCCTGCAACCAGTGAAGCAATTTGTACTGAAGATCGACCTGTAGACTTCGGAATAACAATGCGAACCAAGACTACGCATGAAGCCATGCACCAGCTTGATGGCGGCGTACACGCGTAATGGCAAGATCCGCGAGGAGATGTTCCGCCAGGGTCGCTTTTCCACCCCCAATGATTCATACACAAACAACAAGTCTTGGGGCTTTTTGCTGGGAGGAAGTTAAAAATCTCACGTTACATAAATTTCATAACTGCTTCAGTTGAAGTTGGGAACTTCATCTATGTTGAAGTTGGGAACGAGATCCACGAGTTTGAAGCTGGCGACTCCTCTCGTGAACGCTACCATGAGATCCGCGATGAGCTCGAAAGGTTGCACTCTCGGATGAAGGCTACGTATCGGATACAAACCGGGTGGAAAAGCCTAGCGATAGCTTTGGCTCTTGTTGCTACTCTTGACCAATTTGTACGAACTATCACACTGCTACTAAGTTCATAGCTAAGCTCTCTGATATCGTATTCTATCAGGTTCCATCGCTTTAGAACGATGGAGGCTGCTCATGAGACGTGATTGATCAGTGGGGGGACATATGTTTCTCGTGGAGATTATCAACACTGGATTGGATCGGAACATGCCGTGACAGTGAAGACTTGGAGAAATAATTTTCACGAAGAGAAGCTACAAAACAATGCGAGTACAAAGCGGAGTGCGATGTCCGTGTCACACAACAGTGGAGGCGAAGGGACAAAAAAAAAAGAAGAAACCGTGTTCGCCTCCAAAATGAAAGCAAAGTGGAAGATATGCTCGTCCATCATAGTTTTGCGGAGCTGCTCGAGTCGATGGTGTTGACAATTACTCTCATTGCGAAGTGAAAGATTGGGTGCCAAGATGAAAGCGATGGTGATTCTCACGGACTCTCCTCGCTCGTGGATTCCCTGCTAGAGGATTCATTCACCAGGTCAACGGGAATCCTTCAGTGGTGATTTGCGAAGAAGCTTTGGAAGCATGCGCTTCTTTTTCTGGGGAATCTGTGAAAAGACACGATTGGTCCTCTTTCTTTGCAGTTTCAAATTAATTTCCTCAAGAGACTCTACTTCTGCTTCTTTTGGTGGATACTCTCTCACTCATACTCAGGTACATGTTCTACTTTTCTTCTTGGGAGAAGTCTTACGCTTCCTCTTGGAACAGGAGAAAGATTCTAACACACTTCGTATCTTGGACAGAGCGAGGCCCTTGGCGAGGGCTTCTTCAGGTGCGTTGCTTTCGAGTTTTGAGCCCCACACACCTGGAGGTGAAGAACTCTTAAACTCGTTGGTATGCAGTCTGAGTTTCTTCATGAGCACTTCAATCCACTCAGAGAATATCAGAAGAATCCTTCCTAGCGTCACTTGTAGCAGCTCCATAGATTTGCTTCAGCTGCTGGAGCATCTTGTTGCACAACCCACGGCTTTCAGGCCTCGACTTGAAAAGTTTCCAGGCACCCGCTTTCCAGGCTTCGTTCTCGACATCCAGAGCCGCTGGAAAGTAAGAAGTCCCTGCTCAGACTGAGCTTGGTTTGGTGCATTTCCTTATGCAACAGGACTGAGTCAGATTCTGAAAATGAAAGGCAGTGCTCGCTGCTTGCAAGTTGGACAGACGATCAAGCTCGGATAGGGGAAGCTATCGGCAGAGGTGTGCTGCCCCTGGACGTCCGTGTACAAAGTGGACGATGCTGCACATTGTCATTAGCCGATTATATATCTTCATGGAATGAGGAAAGTTCTATGTATTGAAATTTTAATGTGAAATTAAATATAAATGAAATCATTTAGTACTAAATGCAAATGTTTTATTTAGTAAAGTGTTTAAAATATTAAAAAGAGTGTTAAATAATGCATAATTTACACAACAAGGTGGCAAATGTTTCTCCTCTTTGGGCCAGTGATTTGCGTTTGAGCTCCTTGAATGGTCTCATGGGTGACTGTCTGGAGCTGCTGCTAGCCTCGGTGGCCTGCGTTTGCCTCTACTTTGCAGGGTTGAAGTGTTTGCCTTGGAACTCTGCTGCAGCGAGAGAAGATGTTGATGCTTGTTGCCCGCTCCTTGCAAAACAACAGTGATGCCCTGTTTAAGACGAAGGAACTGCATTGAGTATGCGAGAGTGTGGACGATAGTTTGGTTGACAATCTCGCCTCTGTTGTCAGCTCGCGGTCGACTTGTTAGCATCTTGTCCTTTGAGGCTTGGAAGAGCCACAACAACTACTGGTGATCGTTCAGTGGCAAGGAAGATAAAGAAAAGGAAAACGAAAACAGTTCCAAGACATGAGCTTGCATGGAGATTGGAGAATGGAAGGGACTGCGATGTCCGTGTCACACAACAGTGGAGGCAAAAACAAAAGAAAGAATAAAGGAGCTCAGTTGATATGCCGTGCTCATGTTGACGAGACTCATTGTGCGCTCCAAGCCGCTCGAGATTATCAGTGCTGGAATCCGGGGAAATCACTGGTGTTGACGATTACACTCCTCGCGAGGACGACTTAAAGATTTGCGTGCCAGGATGAAAGCGATGGAGATTCGAGAATAACATGATTCTTTCAACGAGAATCATCCAGTGGAGGATTTGCTACGTGGACCGGAAGCATGAGAAGCATTAAACTATCTGCGGAGAAGGGAGAAGGCCTCTCTCTCTCTTATAAATCAGGTACGTATCTTACACTTTTCTTCTAGGGAAGGGAGTAACATTTTCTCTCGAACAGGTCCCCCCATCGCATAGAAAACACATCCTTTTCTTCCTGGCGGACTACTTTGCGTCTTGGACCGAACGAGACCAGCTTTTTCCAACCATTCTACTATTCTTGCAATCAAGCAAACTGTGATACTTCTCACATCGTAGCTGCAGGTTCTTATCATAGCGCTCTTCTTCTTCTTCTTTTTTCCTTTTGCCTTTTCTCATTCTCACTCACTCTTTTGGTTGCAGTAGCGTTTGGCAAAACCAATTTACCGCTGCTCTTCAGCCTCCGTCACATCTCCATCGTCCTCCTCCTCGGAAGCAGTGGTGGCGCTAGCTTTCCTGGGGCTCAAAACTTCCCCCTCTTCCTTGGAGGATTTTAAGAGCTCTTGCTTCTCATAAAACACCAATGGCTCAGCTGGGGAAGCGTGGAGATTTGCAAAGAAATCTTGAGCCTGGCTTTGCTGGAGAGGATTACTTTGCATACTCGGTGCTGCTTGATGGTGATCAAACACTGCATACTCTGGAGGAACCCAGATGCTCCCAAGAACAACAACTTGAGGGGATTTCTGGGCTGCTGTTCCTGGGGCTACTGTCGCCGGTCTTCTCGTGTGGAGTCGATACTTCTGCTTGATCCAACGAAAAGAAAATCAATCGAATCGACTTCGAGATGAAACTGGATCACTCACCTGGAGGTGGCTTTTTACTTCATCGTTTGTAAGACCATCTACCTTCATGAGTTCTCGGATTTGCTTTGGAGTGGCAACTGGATCAAGAAGAAGAAACCTTTAAGAACTTTCGATCGAGCGCTTGAATTCAGAATAACTGTCGCACCTTGGGATCCTCCGAGCTGCTGTAAAGCATTGACAAATCGTCGATGGAGCTCCGGAGACCAGCACCGCCTCGCCTTTCTTTGTTGGTGTAAAGTAGAGTTTGAGCAAATGCCGCTGCTAGGCATTTGCTGCAAGGAAAGCTCTACTAGAGGCAAATTTGACTCGCTGCCTTGAAACTTTATGAAGCCAGTTTTCTTTTGTTCCAGAGATAAGCAAATAGACGAGGAGAGGCAAAGTTCAGCTTGATCCCATTTCTTGTCTCGCACAAAAGGCGCAAAAGCACCGGAATCAGCTGATGCCGTCGATGATCTGAGAGCTTTTCTTGTCTGAGAAGTGGAAACGAAACTATGAATTCCTGTGGGAGAAATCTATGAACCACTTACTTCAAATTCTCCATCCTCACGGGGTGATTGCGATGGGAAACAAGCGAGCTGCATCCAATTTTGCTTTGGAGTGGATGGTCTTTCCTCAAAATCGCGATGATCCTCGGCCTCGCTCTTGGGCTTTCCAAGAAGAAAGCCTGAGCGATTCTCGAGAAAGAGCTCCAGCTTGGGCGGATTTTCCTCTTCCATCTCTGTTTTGTAGCTCTCGTCCAAACATCCCCTGGTCGATTGGATAGCTTCATTGGAAGAGATAAGAAAAGCTTGCAAGGCTAGACTGACTGACCATGCCATGGATTACCTTGCTCGAGCAAATTCATGCAGCAGGGAAGCTCTCGCTTGAAAGCCTCAATCTTTTGCCTTTCCTGTTGGAGAGCTTGCAAATAATCCTCCATCCTCCTCCGAGTTTGCTGGTCACTCGAGTCCCTCTTTACGATCGCGCATCCCAATGTGAGATCCGGCGCCTCTGCTTGCCCAAATTCCTCCTCTGGATTCATCGCCGCAGCGAATTTAGATCACGAGACCAGTTGGAGAGAGCGAGAGATGAAGAAGATACGGATATTCGGTGGCCCCCAAAGTCAGTGCTCGTATATCCCTCGTTAGATACCCGGCCATTGGATGGAAGAAGAAAATACTAGAAGAGGAAGAAAGGATTGGTGCCATAGACCGACGGGTCGCATTGATTACTCTACCGGGAATCTATGTAGTTTGCCCTTCCATTGCCATTGGCTCTCTAGATTCCTAAGTTCCTAAGCTACCACCATAAGATACTCTGAAGAAATCCAAACCCCTGGGTCCCCAAATCCCATTTGTGCAACTTGGGCGGGTATCTCACAATCCATCCATCCAGGATAGAAAAAAGGAAAAGAATTCCAAGACTAAGATGAGATTTACAAATCTTTGGATCGATTTTGTTACTCGACAATTCTTAGCCTCTGGTTGGGGGAGGGGATATGCGTGTCAGCCGGGATTCTTACTCTGGACCCATTCTCCTACAATGATTCCTTTTCTTCCATCATGGTGCCTTATATTCTCACCGATCAGCTTCTCTTTTCTTCGTTGAAAATGTCGATCGTAATGTAGCGTTGAGCGATTGCGACCGCGCTGAATCAATCCCGAGATTTGCCCCTCTGTCCGACTAGTATATTTTTAAGCTTGAGTTTGAAGCAGGCTTCTCTGCCATGTTCAACTGCAAAACATGCACACCTGAACTGGATCCAAAAGCAGAGGAAGACGAGGCATTGCTGTGGTACGCAGCAAAAGCTGTTCCCGGGCATTTCTTTTCCTCCGCCACCACATTTGTACTCCAAACTTGAATTAACGGACAAACTATGTCAGGCATTGGACGAAATGGTCGACTTGGACTTTCTCACTGTCTCCACCCTTCCAGAACAGTTCCCTCAGCCTATCTGCTCACAGTATCTCGTCACCAAGTAGTCATCCCCGTTCTGTGGCTCGCCACTGTAAAGAATAGGCAGCACACCGGCAACCTTCTTCTTAGTGAGCATGCCAAGAACAAAAAGCTCAGCGTCTAGTTGCGGGCAGACCTTCACTGCAACGCCTGTCAAGATCTGTCCCTGAACCAGATTTGCCTTGTAAACTCGAACCGACAAAGAGTCATGCTTGCGATCTTTGAGAGCAACGATTTTCAAATCCTGAAGATAACTCCAAAGATATGCGCCCGTGCATTCATGGAGGAGGACTGAATCCATACACAGTCCCGTCAGCCAGCAGGATTCCCACAAGAAGTGTTAGGCCAAATGATCCTTCCTTGAGAGCCCAAGGATATCTTTGCGTAAATATATACTGGTTCTTCCCGTTGACCATATCCAGCTTCTGGACCTGGATTTCCTGTCTACAGAGCAGCACTGCATACGCAAACGTCCTGCTCGATTGGGTCATCTTTATAACATCTAGCTTTGCTGTTGTTTCTCCCAAGCATTCCGTGTATAGCTTGGTTAACTCGTACTTGAGCGCCATAACAAAAGCCACCGACGACCACGATAGAGCGGCTGTGTCCGAAGTGCGGAAAGAATAGCTCGGTTTATCAGAAGAACCTGGAATACCAGACCTGCTCGTGTCCTGTGGTATGCAACCCCTCCGAAAAGTGGCATTTTCTTCACGGCTTCCCTGCTCCAAGATTTGAATTGCCAGCTGAACTTCTATCTCGTCGCCTTGAATATATTCGTAACCTACATTCTCCCAATGATATCTCTCACTTGCTGAGCCCTTATCATCCATCTCTTTGTCGCGAGTCCGAGCCTCTTCTAAAGCGAGATCAATCAAACTTTTCTGTCCAACTTTTTGGAGAAGATAAGTTGTTGCTGCCTCCACTTCCGGTGCATCCGTGAACTGACTTGTGATCTCCAAGGAGCCTCAAATGTTGTTGTAGGCATCGCTTTCTTTCTTTTTTTTTGCCGATCGCAGCATAAGACATCGTAGTCTTCTGACGCCTGGACAAAGCCTTTTCTATCGCCGCCTCAATTATGCGGTCGATGTCTATTAAGAAAAACGAAAATAACAAATCACGCAACGTACCACCACTTGCAAATCCTCCAGCGCGAGACCCGCGGATCACGATCGGGGTTTGCTCCGAGCGTCCGTCACCAAGCCCAGTAGACACCGCAAGTTGCCTGATTACCTCCAACTCCATGGCGCCCGGCACCAGAGCAAAATGGCCTAGACAAAATGTGGTAGGGTCCAGATGCCACGACCCAGCAACGCTGGCAATCGGGAAATCGCCCTTCAGCAACGGAAACAACAGCGATTCATCTCCCGCACCCAAATCCCCTCCCAATACGAACTACGTTGCACTGTGAACCTAAGAGGGTTTCTGTTATAGTGTTATCATCTTTTGCATGGTCTCTGTTCGCCAAAGCTTGTGCCCCACTGTGACAACGCTTGGAACTGCTTCCATCTGGTTTTGAATGTGGTTTCTCATGATTCCAAGAGGATTTTGAGACCACTACAATTACCAATCCAGGGAAGAATTAGATATGTGGTGGAGGTGTTTTTATCAGGATGTTTACAGGTCAAGTGGATGGAACCTGTACCCAATAATCCCAACACATGGAGAGGACATTTAGCAGTGGTTTGTTTTCCTACAGAAGTGTGGGAACTTCTTCACACAGTGGTTGGAAATATGTTTGGACAATGTTTCTGTCAAGAGAATATCATCTTGGAGAAAATTCATCACTGTTATGTCCAGTGAAATGGGTTTTGGAAAAAAAGACAGTCTGAGCGTTTGGCTGTTGGCTTGCTCATAGCACTCAAATATTAAACATCTATATCATAAACAAAATTTAGAGAATTATATGTTACCTTCGTTAAAATCCACAAAAACAAGATTCAGATCTTAGAAAATCATGTATGTTGAAACGAAGAATTGAAGAAGCTTTCACTCTTCATCAAAGCACTCGAGTAACAGGTGCAGGTGCTAGAACACTACACTTACTCTAGTCTGATTACTTCGAGAGGGGTTGAACCCAGAAGAGTGTCACCAACCTCCTGCAACTACATTTCCTGAAGCAAGAGCTCTTCGTTCCTAGATTACTACCTCAACTCTTGCAGTGTATAAAATGTATTGGAAATTATACAGTTGCAGTTTTCAGAACACCGGGATCAGTACTATGTGTAGCTCCACGCAAGCAATTCAAAAAGGAAGCCTCCAAGCAGCCTAACTAATTCTTGTTGCTGACATAAGCATTGTAGCAACGTTTGATTGTGGATTGCATGCAATGTTTGCCAACCACTGTCCCTGGAACGTGGTGTCTGAACAAAGCATTGAAAAAATCCTCAAAAACCCTTTTTCTATGGTTTGGTTTTGGCAAGTTGCTATGAATTATGTATGGACAGAAGTTCTTCAAATTGCTCTTCGTGCATGGAACGATATCTACACGGAACCAGTTAGCTGGAGTTTGTACTCTACTTCGTCCTGGCAGAATCGAACTATGACCAGTTCGGCTTCAACAAGCCCCAGTAGGGTAACAAAATAATGCGAACCTAACTTTTTTGATCCAGCAAACTCTGAAAGCTTCTTATATTTTCAGCCATGTGGCCTCAACCCATTCAGGATGCGTTCGGGAAACGGGCGATTCTGTCTCTTCACCATTGCATACTTAGTGCCAATTCATAGGCCTCAGTGAACGCAGTCATCTTGTTCTGTTCTGTATTTTAACACATCAACAACACTTTAAAACTACGATGGACTCACATATACTTTACTGTGCTTCCTACTCGCTCTTTCAAAACCATTATTTGTAAACATGCTTAATCTTGTTATAGTCTTACTGCACAATTTCTCGCTCTTCGTCCAATTTCATGATTTTTGCAGGAGGCACTGGCATGCAGCTGCAAGCCTCACGGAGCTTTCCCTCATTTGTCAATCCTAGCGCCTCTGCCGAAGGATTACCCTGCTGATCATCGCCTGGAAGAGCCTGAGGAACACCTCTTCTCGAACCAACAATTGATCTCCAGAGCTCCATGCCTGAGACTTCTTCCCTTTCAGAACCACCTTCTAGAACTGGCTTGACAGGCTTTGCAGCAGCCTTTCCCAGCGCCTTGCTAGCATTCCGAGCCAGCTGAGCAGTTTTAGGAGGAGCTGGGATGTTCGGCAGCACTGTGTTTCCAAAGAGCTTGATTGGCTTAACGGCCAGAGCTCGATCGTGCTGGAGCTGGCAGTCGATGGAGCAGTAAGTGGTGACACGAACTAATGGCTCATCATCGAAATTGAGGCCGCAGTAACATCCCTTGATCCCACGGGGAGACGGACAGCTCTTGAGGCGGATAAGATCTTCACCTTTTTTTTTGCTGCCGTCAACATGATCCACATTGTAAAACTGTGCGATATGCTCTCGAACAACCCTGGCTTCTTTATAGTGCCAGCGTAAGAGTAGAATACGTCCATTATCGCAATTATGATTAAACACTTCTGATTCACAGAGTACTGCACAACAACCAATGCAAAACGCTGACCGACGATCTGTGATGGATTGGCCGTGGCAGTGTTTTAAACACTTTGAGAAGAAATCTCTCTGCAAAAACGTCTCTAGCCATTCTGGAACCATTGCCCTAAGATTTTTTTATTCTATTTGTCCTTTATATATTCAAGTATACCCTTTAATCAGTTAATATACCTTTTAAATAAAAGGTAATGTATCTTATTAAAGGAATATTTGTTGTTTAGAGCTACATGAAGAACTTCATCGGTATTGATTCTCATATTCGTCTCTTCAAAAAAAGAATGCTTTCATGTTCCAAGCCACACACAATGTCCTGCATCAATAAATCATATAAACTAGTAAGCTTGTCTCGAGAAATTCACGCCTTACCTTTCCATTCTCGCAATCAACATCGAAAGAATTGATGGCGCAAGGCTCCGCGAGAAGCTCGGTAACATTGCCTGCACCAAGGATTTTTAAGCAAAGGCTTGCACGACAGAAAAAACGCTTACCTCCTTCAATGGTGGCTAGAACACCATCTTCCGAGCAAAACATAACTGGAGGGACCTTGCCAGAGTCCGACGAAGACGAAATCGTAGACGCATGGTCGTACTTGACTTCCCAGACCTCGCTCTCTACAATCGCCGATTTACTCGCAGAAACACCCGCTAGCTTCACGGCATCTCTTTGCCATCGAAGGTCCCAAGCGAAGATGGATCCTCCAGAGCCTCCGACCTTGACAATAAGAACTATTAAGGATCCAGAAAAAAATGAAACAAAACAAGCTAACACACCACGCAGAGATGCTTCCGAGAGGGATGGACGTCCAGAGAGTGAACGAATCCCGGTGAAGAACCGTCCCTGTGAAGCGAAAGTTTATAAGCGAAGGAAGGCAATGAGAGCTTTAGATCCCCCACCATTTCAAGCGGCATTGCGAGACAGGTCCACCCGGTTTACGAAGATCCCACCACTGCAATGGAGCTCCCACTCCGGCGGTCACGAACTCCATAGACGAAGCCCAATGCGCGGCAGAGAAGGAGATATGGCCATGACTGTCGTGAACACGCTTGGGAAGAAGCTCGGACTCGGAGATTTTCACTACGCTAATCTTTCCATCCTCCCCCACGGCCAAGCAGTCCCCGGAATCGTCCAGGACGTCCACAGCGCAGACGCTAGCCTCGTGCAAACCGGAAAGAACGAGAGGCTCCTTGTCTAGAAGCTCCGACGTAGTCACTTGCACGGCATCCACTGGTACCACTGTCACGGACCCCTCGATGCTGCCCGCCACCGCAAGGAAATTCTCCCCTTGCAATGCAGCGGTGGCGAGGGCCGAGACTCGTCCGGGCAGCTCCCACTCGCCTCGCAAATCCAGCCATGGCCTTCCCTCGGTGGAATCTTTGCTGCCCAGGGCATTAAGCTCTAGGCTAGGCTTGCCTGTCTCTGGATCAAACAGGGTTGACACCAGCATTCGGTCCCAGGCCGCCGCCGACGATGGCAGCCATCGCACCGAACCCACCGCGCGTCCCTGGGGAAGCCTCCATGACGCCATACCCTAATTAAACCCTAGCTAGTGTATATTCCTCATTTCAACATTTAAGCTGTGGCGGGAATCTAATATCCTAAAAAAAAACTATTATATATAATTATTACTATATAGTTTACTTTAAGTTTATTTAGATTTATTAATTATTTTTAAATCTTATATAACATTTTACTTTTGGAAACAATACTTATCATTTGTTAAATAATAACAAAAAATTACTTGTTCAAAAGTATTTAGCAGATAGTCTTTTTTAGGTGGGATGTAAATTCATTCTATGTCATTAGTGATAAGTTTTATTTATTAATAATATACATTTTCAATCCATTTGTAAAATGAAATAACTTTACATCATCACTGTTAAAGCTTAGTAAACCTAGTGATTAATAAATGGTTTTATATATTTAAAAGCCTTTTCCATATAAAACTTATTGTACATTGGTCTTTATAAAAATAATAATTAACATGTTTTCTTGTAAAATTCCTATATTCCATAAACATCACTTTCAAATTGAAGTGCTAGAATGTGAATTGCATCCATCCATTGTGAATTATATGGTATAATGCACATTATATTAATATAGTTGCTGATTATAAACATCACTACTAGAATAAATTGGTAAGCATTACATTTCCTTTCAACCCTTTTGTATTTTTCATGTTGATTGCATTTTTGAGGAGATTTTTTGGCAATGGTGATGAAACTCCACAATTTTATCTCAATTGAGAAAAACTTTATTTGATTCTTGAAAAATAACACATATCCCAATTGTTGCCTAGCCATATAGGCATATGACAACAATACCAATTCCAAGTTTATTGGCATTTCAACTTTAGTGGATGAAGTTATGTTGTGCCATGATTTACATAAACTTAATTCATTGTACTTTTAAAAGATTCATAAATTATTAATTCAAACCCCTTAATTTTAGTAAGTATTTAATGCACTATATCTAAAAGACAAAGATTTTAAGTGTTTAATGGATTATTTATACAATAGGTTCATCAGATGTTTAACTCTTAACTTTGCTATATAAGATATTCCTAAAATGGTCATTAATAAATATCATGTGGCTAAGAAGTAGTATGTTCGTGTTGAATGTCAAATATATCAATGAACAAAACTTGTAAGTTTCAACTTTCATCTTCTAGTGGTGTATATGAAATTGCCATATTAGTAAACAGGTTAGGTAGGTTTAGAGTAACACTCTATCATTTAATCCTTAAAAGTAAGCTTCCTCTTCAAGCACAAGAAACCACAGTTCAGAGGAATTTAGGAACAGGGACTCAAAGGCCTGAGTGAGTAGAGAGAGTTAGATTAGATATTCTATGGTCTCAGCGCACTCAGTAACTCCTTTCCTAGATTTTTATTTTGAAATAGCAATTAAAATAATATGTTTGCATTAAAATTAATACAAGATATTCTTGGGAGTAATGTTTAGAATATAGATATTAATCACATATGAAAATATATGATTTTAAGATCTAGAATCATTATTATAAAAACTAAAACCTTAGTGGTGAAGATACCTTTTAATAAATGTATTTGCTGCTATGCTCCTTTCAAAACACTATTCGTGGGAAAAAAGTTGATGTAGAAAAGAAAGAATATTCTATTGTCTGACAAAACGTGTTATATTCCTACGATTGGACAGAGTAACCACGAGGGTTTTCAGATACGTGGCATTGAAAGAACCATTCGGTTTGATCACACAGATCATGGCGGCGATCTCTTCCGAGGCGTTCCCGAGGCTCGGCGTTGCGAACGCATGCCCATCGCCGTCCCGCGAGCGCGCCAGCGCGCATTTCCTCCACAGCGGCCCCTCCATCAGGTCAATTGCCACTGCTACTAGGTTGTCTCTGGGTGCCAGGCACAGATTGCAGGCTTTGGCGTCGGATGGGAACGACGAATGGGGCGAGGGTGCCGCTGAGAAGAAGGGTGCCGCGAGCAAGGCAGGGAATGGAGTAGGAACTGCGGTGGCCGACGAGAAAGAGAAGGATGGCGATACAGAGGGGCTTAAGAAGGCGCTGCTGGATTCTTTGTATGGAACAGAGCGAGGTCTTAAAGCTAGCAGCGAGACTAGAGCCGAGGTGAATGAGCTCATCACTCAGCTAGAAGCTAAGAATCCAACTCCAGCTCCGACCGAAGCATTGGCCGTGCTCAATGGCAAATGGATCCTCGCGTAAGTCCTTTCAGTTCTTCCTCTTTTCTCTCTCTCTTTGCTCTTGCTTCTTGGTCGACTAAGATTTCATCTCATTCTAGATACACTTCTTTCTCGGAGCTCTTTCCTCTCTTAGCAGCGGGAACTTTGCCGCTGGTAAAAGTTGGAGAGATCTCCCAGACTGTTGATTCCAACGCACTGACAGTCCAAAATTCTGTGAGTTTTGTGGGTCCTTTGGCAACCACATCGTTTAGCGCATCAGCTTCGTTCGAAGTCAGGAGTCCAAAGCGCGTGCAAGTAAGATCATTGTTTCTTAGTGTTCGTGATTTGTCTGGTTTGGTTAGACCTTGACGAGCAACAGAGATACACTTCTGCTTGGGAAGCCACTCAGCAGAAGCCACAATAGATTGCTCAAGAGAGAGTGTAGCGTTTAGAAGCTATAACTAGCTTAGAAAACTTGGAGCCTGGTTTTCTTCTACGCTGCATACATGCTTCCTAGCTAACAAGTTCTTCCTCTTTAACGCAGATTAAATTCGAGGAAGGAGTGATTGGAACACCGCAGCTCACAGATTCCGTTGAACTCCCCGACACCGTGGACTTCATGGGACGTAAAATCGATCTCACACCAGCTCAAAACGCTCTTCGTCCCCTGCAAGACGCTGCGAACTCGGTGGCGCGCACACTCTCAGGTCAGCCACCTCTTAAGTTTTCGATACCAGGCAACAAAGCCCAGTCGTGGCTGCTCACCACTTACTTGGACGAGGACCTGCGAATCTCCCGTGGCGATGGAGGGGGTGTCTTCTTGCTCGTCAAGGAAGGCAGCCCCTTGATACCATCGTCGTGGTAATTTTTTCTACTCAAAAGCTTACAATCAATATAAGGTTTTGGTTTCAGAGAGAACAGAAGAGTTGCTTTTCCTTCCAAGAGGTACTAGACAGTTTTTCCTCTCGGCACTGAAAGCTCCTCGCTGATCGTCTAGCTCGACTGATCAGTCCTCTGCCGGGTACCGATCTTGATTATAGGAAGGAAGAGCTGGAGGATCCTCGTCTGGAACGAACCTCTTCCAATACCAGTGCCTCCTCCAAACGCTGGTCATCTCCTCGATGGGAACACTCTTGGTCTCGGGAAGAAAGAAGTAGACGAAGAGGGACATGACCAACACCCAAGCTGCGAAGAACAAGAAGATCCCGTACGTCATGTGGCATAGCATTGTGAGGAAAGCTTGCGCAATGACGAAGGTGAAGAGGAAGTTGACAGCCACATTGATTCCCTGGCCGACGGACCGCGTCTCCAGTGTGAAGATCTCGCTGGGAATGAGCCATCCCAGCGGCCCCCATGACCATGCAAAGGATGAGACGTAGATGCAAATCACGATCACGACGATCACGGCAAAAGGTTTGGACAACGGTGTAATGATCGCAAAGATCAACCCAATCGCCACCTATGATCGTGCAAAGAGTTTTAGTCGATCGATCAAGAGAGAAAAACAATCAATCCATCTCTCACCTGGGTGAAGAACATTTGGACTCCAGCTTCCAGGAAGAGCGCGCGGCGGCCCCACTTATCAACGAAGGTGATAGCGACGAGCGTGGCCATGACGTTCACAGCGCCAGTGATCACGGCTGAGTAGAGCGACGCATCGGTGCCAAATCCAAGCTTCTGGAAGAGCACCGGGGCGTAGAACATGATCGCATTGATCCCCGTGAACTGCTGGAAGAATGGGATCATGGTCGCCATGACGAGCTGGGGGCGATTCTTTCTCTGGAAGATGGCCTTGAAAGGGTTTGTCACTGCGAGCTCGCTTGCCTCTTTGATATCTTCGTACTCGGCATCCACCTCCTCGGTCCCGCGGATCTTCGTGAGGAGGCGGCGAGCCTCCTCGTAACGCCCACGCTCGATCAAACTATTTGGAGTCTCGGGCAAGAAAAATCCGCCCATGGTCATGAGGATGGCTGGTACTCCGGCGAGACCAAGGGAGAGGCGCCAGCCCCAATCCTGGATTTGGAGGGAGCCATAGTTGATGAGACTCGCGCAGAGGATCCCCATAGTGATGGCGAGCTGAAACATGATGTTGAGCGCTCCCCGGATCTTTGCCGGCGCCATCTCTGATAGATAGAGCGGCACTGCCTGGACAGAGCATTCGAGGAATCAAATCTTTTTTTCTTGCGAACCGATCATCCACTCACCTGATTGCCAAAGCCAAGGCCGATGCCATGCATGATTCGTCCCAAGATGAGCATGGCTAGATTTTGAGCGGCACCACTGAGCACGGCACCGACGAGGGAACAGAGGCCTCCACAGAGGATCGATAGCCGCCGCCCATAAATCTTCGTGACGTGAGAGGCCAGCAAGCTGGCCGTGATGCCCGCGAGATAGAGCGAGGACGTGAAGATGGTGAGTCGCTGATCGTCATTCTGGCAGTAGTAGAATGGAGAGTCGTCGTCACGGCTGTGGAAATTGAATTTCTTCAAGAATGCGGGCATGGATGTCATACCACCTGTGATCAAACGAAGGAAATTCGCGATAGATCGATGACAAATCTGGTCTTGCCTGAGATTCCCACTTCGTAGCCAAAGATCAAGCCTCCACACGAGGCCACAATGCAAGCGAGGATCACGTAAGACGTTGTCCGTCCCTTGTAGAGCTGGGCTCTCAAGCCGCCGCCATTCGCCACTCCACGAATTTTCCTTCCGGCCATAGATTCCAAAGAGGGATCTCCCAGCTCGATCGATCGGCGGCTTGATCATGGCACTAGTCTTCGCGTAGAATTGAATGCGTCTTTGTCTCGCCGTGACCACGGCGGCGAATTCTTGAGTGTTGGTCTTGGCCGTAAAGTTGAGAGTGATAGATTTTTACATTTTTTGGTCTTCATCCTACTTAGTTCTATAGTTCTTGCTCAATGAGCTTTAGTTTGTCATCTCTACGCCCATCTTGCTTTCATCATCCTGCTTGTATGGGATAACCGGAGGATCTTGGTCCGGGACAATCCTCCTCCAAAACCAGTGCTTTCTCCACACACCCATCATCTCCTCGATTGGAACGTTCTTGGTCTCGGGTATGAACCAGAAGACGAAGACTGACATGATCGCCACCCAGGCCGCGAAGAACAGGAAGATCCCGAACTTCATATGGCACATCATGCTGAGGAACGCCTGCGCGATGACGAAGGTGAAGAAGAGATTAACTGCCACCGTGATCGCTTGCCCGGCCGATCGCGTCTCCAGTGGGAAAATCTCGCTGGGAACAAGCCAGCCCAAGGGTCCCCAAGACCAGGCAAAGGCAGAGACGTAGCAGCATATCACGATCACGACGATCACAGCGTAAACTTTGTCCAGCTCCTTGGTTCCTCCAAACTTGACGCCCAAGATCACCGCCACCACCACCTATGGATTTAGAATGGAAGAGTGAGAACTTCGATCTAGAGAAGAATGCTGCTTACCTGTGAGACGAACATTTGGACTCCAGCTTGCAAGAAGAAGAAGCGGCGGCCCAACCGATCGACAAGCGCGATCGAGACGAGGGTAGCCACGACATTGACAGCGCCGGTGATCACGGCCGAGTAGAGCGATGCGTCGCTGCCAAATCCGATCGTCTGGAAGAGGACCGGGGCATAGAACATGATAGCGTTGATCCCCGTGAACTGCTGGAAGAATGGGATTAACGTCGCCAAGATGAGCTGGGGACGACTCCTCCGCTCGAAAATATTCTTCAAGGGGCTAGCGATGGCAGCCGCGAGATCGCTCGCCTCTTTGATATCTTCATACTCGGCATCCACTTCCTCGGTGCCGCGGATCTTGACGAGGAGGCGGCGGCCTTCGTCGCAGCGTCCACGTTCGATCAAACTGTTTGGAGTCTCGGGCAAGAAAAGACCACCCACGCTCATGAGAATGGCTGGTACTCCGGCGAGACCAAGCGAGAGGCGCCATCCCCAGCCAGGAATCTTAGCGGTGCCATAGTTGATAAGATTCGCGCACAGGATTCCAATCGTGATGGCGAGCTGGAACATGATGTTTAGAGCGCCACGGATCTTCGCCGGTGCCATCTCTGAGAGATAGACTGGCACTGCCTGGAAAAGAAAGAAAGAAGGATATGATCAAAACGTTGTCTTTGGTGGTTGTATATGATCCATCGGTTACCTGGTTGCCAAAACCCACGCCAACACCCAGCATGATCCGGCCTAGGATGAGCATGACCAGATTGGCGGCAGCGCCATTGAGCACTGCGCCAACCAAGAAGCTGAGACCTCCGCAAATGATGGATGGGCGGCGTCCATACTTCTTGGTGACATGCGAGGCGAGGAAGCTCGCAACCAGGCCCGCGAGATAGAGCGAGGATGTGAAGGCCTGGAGCTTCTGGTTGTCATACTTGCAGTAATCGGAATCGCCATTGGCGGCAAGGTCCTTGTGCCTCTTGACACCCGGGAAGAACTTCTCCAGGAAATCGTCCATGGACGTCACACCACCTGGATGGATCATACGAGCAAAGTTTAGAGCCGGAGAGGACGAGAAAACCACCATGATGATCGCGCAAACTTACCTGAGATGCCCACATCGTAGCCAAAGATCAAGCCTCCGCTGGCAGCCACAATGCACGCCAAGATCACATACTTGGTCGTGTGGCCGCGGTAGAGATCCGCCCTCGCGCTGCCACCGCTCGCGACTCCACCGCCTACCGCCATGGATCAATCGAAAAATGCTTGGACTTCCAAGAGAAGACGGAGAGACGAGAGCAAAGCTAGGTTATTGAATGATCGGCAGTGGAAAAGCTGGCCATTTATATCTGAATTCCATGGATTTGGATAGGATCACATCCACATTAAGGCTGAGATTTTTTTAGAAGCTGGACATATCCGTTGACACGACTCGCGTGATTCGTACGAACGAATCAGCATCTTTGCGTGGGTCAGCGAACCACGTTGACTTGGGCGAGAAATATTTTCATATCAATGTCGTCGCCACTCCCGCCACCTTTTTCTGTTGATAGACCCTTGTACGAAACAGCATAAGATATTACACAAGATAGCAGTAACATTTTAACTCGTTCCGTCGTCACGATCTTTGTCTTTGGGCTTGATCGTCTCTAGCGGTTGAACAGGCTGAGGAGCCAAGCTAGATCCGCCCACAAATTTGCTCCAAAACCAGTGCCTCCTCCACGCATGAATCATCTCCTCGATGGGAACATTCTTGGTCTCGGGCAGCAAGAAGTAGATGAAGATGGTCATGACGGTCACCAGCGCCGCGAAGAGCAGGAAGATTCCATACTTGAGATGGCAGAGCAGCCACAAAAACGCCTGCGCGATCAGAAACGTGAACAAGAGATTGACCGACACCGTGATGCTCTGCCCCGCTGATCGCGTCTCGAGCGGGAAAATCTCGCTGGGGACGAGCCATCCAAGCGGCCCCCACGACCACCCAAACGCCGCCACAAACGTGCAAATGAGCGTCACTACTGTGACGGAGTAGGGCTTGGACAGCTGCTTGGATCCCCCGAATTTCTCCTTCAAGATCACGCCAATGGTCGTCTGCCAAGGAACCACAACCACGATGATCATCCAAGTTAAAATTTAGGGTTCTTGAGCAACTTACCTGGCAGACGATCATTTGAATGCCGCCTTCCAGGAAGAGGAATCTGCGACCCCAGCGGTCCACCAGAGCGATGGAGACGAGCGTGGCGAGCGTGATCACTGCGCCGGTCATGACAGCCGAGTAGAGCGCGGCGTTATCCCCGAATCCCAGGCTCTGGAACAGCACGGGCGCGTAGAAAAGGATGGAATTGATGCCCGTGAGCTGCTGGAACGCCGGGATGAAGATGGCCATGACCAGCTGGGGGCGATTCCTCTTCTTGAGGATGTTGCGGAAGGGGTGCTTGACGGCATTGGCGGTCTCGCTGGCCTCGATCAG